TCGGATCCTACGGTACATATATGGAAAAGTGTTTCAAGCCAGAATGTTGAGGGAATGTAAACCGAAAAATAATAGATGTCATCAACAGTCAATTTAATAGTTTCACTACAGCTGTAATAGGCCTATACAACGCAGACTCGAACTGACCAACATGAAATACAGGGAACACAATGTGCCGACGGCGGTCGTTCGCCGACGCGACCACGGAGAACGCAGCGCGAGGAGGTGCGCACAACTGATCGTTTTCAATAGAAATCCGCTTATTCCGTCATCATCAACACTCAGCAGACTCGTTTCGTCGTCACGCGCTCACTGAGAACGGATGAATTGGTCAGCCGGCGGTCGTGCTATGTGTACACGGCTTTACAAATCGTTGGTTTCATGTTCCTAGTACTGTACATATTTTGCAGGGCTGGGCGGATAAGCTAGACTGGACTAATCGTTCATTACATAAATCAAAGAGGATGCGCTAAAAATTGTTTGTGTAGTCCAGGTCAGTCCATCAACTAGGCTACAGATGTTGGGAGTAAACAATTCCTTGACTATTTTTTCACTTTAAATACGCTTTACTTGAGTAATGTCTTCGTCGCAAGGCTGAAGAATACAGTACCGGTAGCATTTTAAGACGAAACAAAAAATAGCCAGTTTGCGTAAAATAATGTTCTTCATTGGCGATAGATCATCTCTGAGGTGTGAGACCAGATTTAGCAACTACGTAGCCCTACTCAATTTATGTACACTTCTCAAATGCTCACATCCAATTAGTTCGTAGTGTGCCTATAAACATAATATGGTTGCCTTGTCTATAATTACTACGTATCATTTAAGGCCACATACAAAAAATTATTAGTTTATCACCCCCTCCCTCATCACTTTTAGGGAAATTCTGATTTATTTTGTCCATCAACATATATATTATTTAAAACGGTAGTTTTTCCATCTTTTTTCACTTGAAAAGCTCAGGATTTCTTGCAAATACTGTTTACTAGTACAACAAAAGCATATTTTTAAAAATATAAATTTAATTCCATTCTTATGACTTTTTATATGTGTCCCTAACCATTGATTTACTTGCGAACATCGGTAAAATGGGGGCGGGATTAGGAAAAAAAAAACAAAACAAAAAAAACCTCTCTCCCTCATCAGTTTTTTTTCTTTGATAGGGTGATAAACTAATATTTTTTTTTTATGGGGCCTAATATTATATGTCTACCTTGATTATACATTCAAGGTTACAACAAAATCAGTGGCGGATCCAGAAAATTAAAATAGAGGGAGTCCGGGGAGGGACTTTAGCCCTACATATGGAGCTCTAAGTGGAGTTCCTCAGCCCCACCATGGTTGAGGCTGAGAAGAAAATGTATAATTATGACACCGTAGATGGTTGTAAATGTCACTTTCAGACTTAAAATTGTATTATAATTATTTTCCAATGGCCGGCTCTCCACCACTGTAAATAGACATAACAGAAAAGTGTCCGTACTAGGCTATCGTGTAGAAACCTGTGTCTCGCTTAGTTATATTCTTCCCTGTGGAATAAACTATCTCCTTTATTTGAATTCGACTACATAAATTTAAAGCCAAATTTAAATCCTTCTAGGCCTAGTATATACCAAAGTCAATACGTCCCCATTGTTCCATATTTAAATTGATTCATTATAAATTTGATGTTATGTACTATTCGAACATATTACCATATCAATGAGACAAATAAACATTCACGCTGATAACAGACTAGGACAATTATGATAATAGTACAGTTCATTATGTTAGAATTTCAACACACATTAAAATGCGTAGATGTATGTTTAATTATTTGCGTGGCAAGTAGGTAGTAGATTTACCATTAATCATGATATAAAGACGCGTAGGTCTACATAACCCCCACACAATCATGATAATCGTTGTGCATTTGTTTAATATCTCTTACATTCTACATCGTCTAAATACGCTTACAAATTAGAAAAGTAAATACAAAAACATGAATATTAGAAACCAAGAAAATAACTTAGACTGATTGTTCAAGACAATAATCAATATAAGTTTTAAAATAGGCCAACATTAAGTCCCATAGCTTCATATAGGCCTATACAGCTACTATTTACCGAAAAAATTATAATATACTGTATATTTTTTATTCTGTAACATTTGCTCACCAATCGTCCGAATGATGATTTATAAGCGTCAGGGAACATGTTGACCGTCGAAGATGTACGGTACGTTAAGAACGTGTAAGTTCTTCAAATAACATGATAACGACTTACAAACCAATAGTAAGCTATGCCTCATAAGTCTAATATAATTATATTGTCATTTATTACTTACAATACAAAACAATCCGTAAACTTACCTTAGTATATCTCCATTTAATTTTGAAAACGATCTGTAAATTCCATTAAAATATCACACGAGTATTTAATAGATGAACGACATTTTATTGTTTCCGCGCTTGTTTCGTCGCTGGTCAACAGTAATCATCCGGATGATGATGCGCTGGTTTCCAAACTGAGAGTCAACACAAATTACGTATGCATCACATGTATAGAAGATTTCCATGGTGTGAGGTTTCATAAAGCTGCTTCCTAACTACTGGACACTTTTATTGCGTTTAAATCTCATGGCTATGACGAATGTTAACGCGTTCATCCCGTAATTATACAGTGGCGATTCATCTTGTGAATATTAATATTATAGGAATCTCATCGCGCTGCTTCAACATAGAAAAATAATTATTAGCATGTGATGAAGGTTAAAGCTATTATCAGCATGGTGGTATTATATCTGAACACTACAAATGACAGATGTTGGTCATTTATAAAAGGCAGAAAAATAATCGAAAACCCTAGGTCTTTTTTTTTTCTTATTAATATAGTACAAAAATAGGACAGCCCTGCCTCTTTTGGCATTGCGTTCGCTAAACTATCTCCAGCTCTGCAGTTTACACCAAGTAAAAAGACGTGGGTTCGTTTAGCAATCATTTTGAAATAAAATAGAGTTTCAAGTCTTGAGAGGAAAAGCACTAGAAAAAAAAATGAAAATGCGACAGTAAATAACCGCAGAGAAATTAGGGAAAAAAGGAAAACAGTCGGAACAGTAACGCAATTGATGTGTTAGCAACGAACGAACTGAACGCATTTGCAACACTATTGATGTATTGGGAAGTTAAACTGCATGTTTAAACAATACGCTCTGCACAGTAGGCCTGGAATGTGACACAGGTAGGCCTACATAAAAACGGCACATCGATCGTTGAAAACAAAATCAACATTAGACAATAATTATGATGATAATTGAACCAGTAAATTAGGGAAACAATCAACTAATCAGAAGCTGGATATGTAATCAGGATGATTAAAAGGGAAAAAATAAGAGTAATTAGTTTAAATTTCAATCAAGACATCGACATTAGGCACGAAGCACAATTGGAAATCATATATGGTTAGATGTCATTGCCTGACAGTCATTTGCAGACGATACAAAATACAGTACGTAAATGAGCATACGAACGTATCATCATTATCGTATCATATATTATGTAGGCCTCGACATTAATATAAACAAAAGATGTGTGGATATTAAACAGTTTGTTGGAGAAAAAAATATTTAACCTATCCACGTGACATCTATGTTAATAATAATAATAATAATAATAATAATAATAATAATAATAATAATAATAATTATTATTATTATAATAATAATAATAATAATAATAATAATAATAATAATAATAATAATAGGGCCAACATTATGTTGTTATAATCGTATAATTATGCATAACCCTATAACGAAAAGCCTCTATTGCATTGTATGATAAAAGGTGTGACGGCATTCGAAGACCTCCATGCAGTGGCGGTTCTAGGATATATTTTATAGGGGGGGGGCTGAGCTGTCCGACAGGGGGACTTGAGCTGGTAGGCCTGAGCTGGGGGAAGGGTTCCAGAGGGGATTCCCCTCCCAAATGAGATTTTTTTTTAAGGAATAGGAGCCTTTGGGTGGCCAGAAATGACACTCTCAGGCTGTGACAGACATGTGTTGGCTTGGCGTGGTCCTATTTTTATATCTTTTTAAATCTGACTGCCCGACGAGCTCTGTCGTGGGGGGGGGGGGGGGCGCTTGACCTGTCTGGTTGGGAGACTTAAGCCCCTGCTGCCCTGCTGGCGCCGCCACTGTCTCCATGCGGTCAAGGCGAGTGTCATTATACAGGCTACACAGTAGTCCTGCAGCTAGAGTATTTTAAAAATTGAGTTTACAGTAAGCAGATAAAAACGAATTGCAGACACAATCTCGTCAGCTTTCTATTGTGCAGCTATTAATACAACTAACACTGATGACATAATGTAGCGCAATTAAAAAATGTCAGGAGTTATTATTTTAGACTTTAAAGAGCTCCGAAACCCCAACTGTAAGAGCTTTGCACAATTGCCCAAATTGCTTGTGTCATAAAACATCTGCTAGTTCTGGTCATTTAGCCATGTCACGTGCGACGATAACTAACTTTTTAATTAACATTACGTCACTAGTATCCATGGTAACCAAATTACGACCATTTTGAAGAAGTGATGTCACTAGTATACGGTAGTTAATCATAACATCATAACAGTGAACATGAATCGTTAACTGTAACTATGACGTTTGGGATTGAGTTGCTAAAAACAAAGGAGTGCGGCCTATTCGAAAAATATGACCCTCCATAAATTAAATGGTTTCATTACTAATCTGATAGCATTACATATATATATATATATATATATATATATATATAATTCAAGGTCTACCACATGACCAAGTCTCTGTAGCTTTGTTATGTAAACAATTCAATGTAGGCCTATGCAGAGTCAGTGACTTAAACACCTATTCTCAATGATACAATTACCAAATATCAACTGTGCTATAAGATAGCCCTCCAGTCGAAGCACAAGGAGAGAACATTGGTATTTAACCTGTGACCTATAACCTATGGCATAAAAATTATGTTGTACTTTCCATTCACTGCTCCCATTATCCCAGAATTGAATATGGAATGTAAAGGCCACCTGGAATTCTAATCAAGTTTCACATCCATATAATGTCATCTAATATAAAACGGAATTTTCCTGCGTATAATCTAAACATTCATTAATAGCAATAACAGCCATTTCGAAACAGCATTTCATCATATCAAAAATAATCAGAATTTTAATCAAAAATGCAGTGTATAGCAGGAAAAGACAAACAAAGAACTACATAAACCAAATTTATGGTCTATGTTTAAATATACAATTGTTTCTCTGCAGTCAAATATTGTCCAAATTATTGCATGGACAGTTTCATCTGCAGAATTATAAAATTCAAGAATTACAACACAACTGGGAGATATTAAACTTAACGACAATATCCTTATAACCTTTCAGTGAAATGAAATGTGATAGACAAGGAAAAGATAGTATTATCATTAAATTATACAGTACTGTATTGGCTACCAAAATAGGTTTAGTTAAATCAAATGCATATTACATACCAGGTATACATTAATTTGGTTTGAATCATAATTCAATTTATATTCATTTCAACAACAAGACTACAACAGGGTAGTTATAGATTTATCTAGCAAGCTCAGAACTTTTCTATTGGTACCTATAATATATACATTAACATTGTCATAAGTACTTTTAAAAAATGGAGAAGTTTTCTTCTTAATTTTAAATCAAATGGAACTAAACTTAATATGCAGTATAATTGGACAAAGGATTATTAGGTGCAATCATCTAATGAAATTAAAGTTTCATGTATTTCTTTATAATTATCATTATTATCATTATCTTTATTATTATCATTATTATTATTATCATTATCTTTATTATTATCATTATCCTTATTATCATTTTCTTTATTATTATCATTTTCTATTTAATTCCCTTTTTTTAAATTTCAGATCTAAGAGTAAGTACATACACTACATAGAAGATGTGACTATAATATCTATAAACAAAGTTTAATTAACAAGTGGGACACAAGCTAATTTTACATTAACGCATATTCACATCGATGTGATTAGCAGAGGACATGTGCCAATTTTTTTTCTTAGAATGTGTTCTATGTAACACTTTGTCTCATGTGAATCAGGTATTAGTTGTATGAATATTTTTTGTACTGGATTATTTCAATTGCGGACCATGGAATTAGAGAGTAAACGTTTGACCTACCAATATACAGCCACTTTGAATTACACCAGAATAAATATTTAATAATAAGAGTTATTGGTAAAAGACATTTTTTTTTAAATTGAACCAGATTCTTCTTACCTTTACAGAAATGATTTAAATCAATATCAGAATGGTATTTAAAACCAATATTAAAATATAACATTTTAAAATTAGACATTCAACCTTTAGCGGACTCAACGAACAGAATATATTTCAGGTAAATCCTTTAAAACCGACTATAAACTCAAATGCTATTTTAAACATTGTATGGCATGTGACCCCTGGCATTCTATATGTCATCACATATCATATATAATATAAACAGGAATTAATATATTGGCAGGCAAATTTTCAAAAATTCCTGCACAAACTTTCTCTCACATTTAATGAATATGTACATCAATTACATTAATAATGTACATGGATTAGTTGGAAAACAATCATATTATATATCATGGCAAGTCTGTTAGAGATAATCATTAGAAATTCTAATATATTTAAAAGTAATTAAATAATGATAAAGGCATTTAAGTGAGAAAAGATTCATTAATAGGATGCCATTTTGAAGCCCGGTCCAGATTATCACATTTTATTTGAAAAAAAAAAACAAAAACTGTTGTATGCCCATATTTAGTCATGACCTGCATATATATGGTCATGTCACATGTTTTGTCAAATGAAATAAGAGGAGATCCATACCAATAGGTGAAAGGTATACTTCAGATGAGTAGCCATGTAAAGTTATTCGTACCAAGTTAGAAGATCAATACTAAGGTAGATTGGACACATGCAATAGCGTGGTGAGGGAGAGGGGAATCATATTAAGAGGGGGAATATCCATGCAAAAAATGGGGGTGGGAGGAACTGGAAAAAATCTACAAAGTAGACTCCAAAAGAATTATGAAGAAGAAGAGAGGATAAAAGTACAAAATCCAAATATATAAGGAAAGAATATAAGTACACAGGACATAACTTTTATCATATAAAATCCCTTTTTATTCACATTGTGCTATCTGAATGTAAAAAAATGTGAACATATCTTTCTTTACTACCATGGCATACCTCATAAAATACTCATCTTTGATCTCAGGTTACCAAGAACTGGGATTTATTTTAAAATATTTTTGGTATGAATCAATCAAAGTGTTGAACTACTCCATTATTTTGATACAGAAAAAATAATTTTTCAGCAATGATTTCAGAACAGAACCTCACAGAATGCCTATGCTGAAATTATCCTCATCAAGATGTAGAAATTTCTGAAAATCATGGTTGAGAGTGCACTTTATCCAGATATCGATCTGAAATTAAAAACAAGTTTCTAAATGTTACCACAAACTCTAAAATTAACATCAAATTGAAGCTGTATATAATTTTGAAGCGAATAAAAATGATTTATATTGCAATGTATTTAGGGAATCTAGACAGTAATAATAAAGAAAAACTGGACGTAAATGGTTTTTAATCACAGGTAAAATATCTGAACATAATCTGAACACAGGAAAATAGTATTTTTAGCTTGTAAATAAATTAAACTGTGAGAAAAAAAGGTAGTAAAGATGATCCAAGAACCCCTCATTTGTTAAACATGTTTTATATTTTAATTGACACTAGTTTTTCCTTTTCATTTTTTGTTTCAAATAATGTCATTTATTCATCCATATTATTACAAAGTCTAACAAAGGTGAACGTAGATTACTAGAAGCCAAAGAGAGGTGCTATGTAGCTTCACACTGCTACAAAAGGAACTGAAATGAACCAAAGTAAACCACTTACTCTTCCAAAAGATGCAATGAGTTTTTTTAACAGTGCAATACTTATACCCTCATATAAATACCAACATCATTATTCTACAGAAAAAGGCGATGTGAGCAACTACATGGATAGGATATACTGATTCCATCATACACTTGTTCCGTGAACGTAGACCGCTTTGTGGATGACATAAATATTTATCAGCTCGGCATCTTTAAGTTTTATGTTTTTAAATATGACATAGCTTTTCATGATTACAATACAAGAGAAACCTACACTGCACAAGCCTCAGAGCTATCTCACATGGTCCACAGGTTTGGAATTCTCTCAATGCCGATATCAAATCTAGTGAGACTTTAAACAAAATCTTAACACAGACTATTAGCGGTTATCAACTTTTAACCATGGACACTTGTTATCCTGCTGCCGAGATTTATCATTTTCCTTGTTATTACTCAATAATTATTTGTCATGCGATTTACCGGCATATAATACCAGATGAGTGAAATTCATGCTTATGTAAATATTTATACGCTAATGAATGAATGACACTTGATACTTATACTCGTTATTTTTTTTCCCATAGTTTTTTACTTCTTAAATCTTTTAATGTATTACATTTATTAGTAGTCTAGTAGAGGATGGGTGTCACATGTACGGTACTGTACAAACCCTTGGGTTTCTCGAGGCTCCTTTCTATCATTTTGACATCATCCAATTATAATTCTTCTTTGCAAAATGTTTTGAGATATAAAAATGAAGAATAAATATTTTTGTATTGTATTGCATTGTACAGGGGCGGATCCAGAGAAGTCCAAAATGGGGGCCGAAAGTTGGGCCGATCGAGATAACACCACCCTAGCTGGTCCAGGGTCTTACCCGCACGAAAATGTTGTGTTCTAGATGCTCGAAAATAACCTTTGAGGCGTTTTAGGTGATCAATTTTTTTCTTTTTATTTCTTTCTTTTTTTTTTTTTTTAATTTTCTAAAAGCTGGCCCAGCCCAACCACTAATCTGCCCCACCACTAATCTGCCCCTGGTTGTAAGGCACACTTAAGCCAGATTTACACCTCAGATTTGAAGTTCTCAACCAAGAAGACTCAGTTCTACCAATCAAACTTGGACAAGGAGTATCTCAAACTACTATAATGCACCTCTCTACGGCTGCTACGATAGTCACCAACCATGCCAATACGCAATTCAGTTCAATGACACTGCAAGTTATAGGTTATTCTCCTATCTTTACCTTTCCATTATTCACAAATGGACTTTATTGCATCAGAGTACCAGCACATATTCTTAAAATAATACCAAATTTAGTTTAAACAACTAAGCAATGCCGGCAGAAAATAAGATTACTCCTACCTCCAAAGCACCATGATAATTTATTATTGTCACAACATCCTGGTTTTAAAACAATAATAGTAATTATTATCAACCAATGAATGAATGAATTTACACGCTTTGTGCGCAGCAAACTACACAAAACATTGAAGAGCACTTCCTCAACAACAAATAAAACAATGAATCACTCATGTAAAATGATTAGTCAAGTTATCTTTTAATGTGAAAATTGAGGTTTTGCTGATTAGTATTTTTGATACACCTATTAATTAACTGGGAACATTTTTGTTTTATCTCATTCTAATTTTAAATTTGGAAGATAACTTTGTATAAGGAATTTCATTTTGAATCTAGCTCATGCAGACACAGACAGTCTTCAATCTATCAATTTTATCTCAACATCAAGACCCTTGACATAATCATATTTCAGTCTGAGAGGTTAACGATGTGTTCTGTCAGCACATTCCATTATGAAGGCACTGAGTGTGGTCTAATAGTAAAATGCCATCCCTGCAACCATATAGCTGTTGGTTCGATGTTGGTTTCATTCCAATTACACACAAAATTTCCTAAAAACATGCTAAATTAATTTAAATTCATTATATATTTTCATTTCTAAGCAATTACCTGACCAGTAAATATTTAAAAATGTATGATACTTGAAACTTACATAATACAATTTGTATATATGGTGATTATATTTTACCTCCACTGAGGTCTATAGGTCACCCTCATAAAAAATATAAAAATTAATAAAGTAGATTACATATCCAACAATTTAACTGACCTAAAATACGTAGATTGGAATAGGTAACAGACCATGATAAAATCTTATCTGAGAACAACATGTTATCTGTGATTAGGCTAAATAAAATTAATTGCTAGTTCCACATCCCCACCCTGATCAAATTTTGGAGCCTCATGAAAAAATTTACTGTTTGCTATTTTTTAAAAAAAAACATTTATTTTTCCATGGACAATAAAAATAATGACTATCTGAAAGAATGATATCAACACGAAGGAGAGATGGGAACATAAATGACAGAAATACATTACAAAGATTCATTTTACTTCTTTTATAAAAAAAATAAATATATTTTTAATATTTACCAGCCTGTTTACCATTAGTATAGAGGATACTAAAAAGCAAATAGTAAATACCCTCACTAAAAAAATAATATCAAATCCCTGACGTAAAACTAACAATTAATTCTATTTGCCCTAAAGGTTGGGCCTGCAAACAATGCTATCATTTTCGTTAACAAAAGTTATCCTATTGCTATACATTTTTGTATCGAAGGAAAAAATTAAAAATTAATTGAAATCTAATGAACCTATTTACACTATTCAAACACAATGTCAGTGGGCGCACATGCTACTCAAACTAGTGCCTATATTGCTTTAAGTTGCGACACCCCTGCCTTACCCCATTGGCCAATCAACTCACAAAAGTTATCTATGGGCAAAGCCCTCCAAAAACGAGAAAGCTTTATCAATTTTGGGCAAATTTAAGCCATTCTAAAGTTTTCGAAAATATTACGCTCAAAGAATTATGTACTTAAATTTTCTGTTTTGGTCCAAGTTGTGACCGATGGGCTTGACCTACCCCAGCAGTTATTTAAAAAGAAAAATATTTTTTTTAGGTCTAATAAATTGAATTTTAATAAATTAGAAGTATGTAGCACAGTGTGTAAGACATTGGACCTCCAATTAAGGTCTCTGGGGTGCAAGATTGATGCTCTCTTCACCCATAAATAAATGGGTACCTGGTAGGAGGTGTACCTGGTAGGAGGTGAATGATTCGGAATGAAATTAGTAGTGCTGATTACACCATAACTAGAAATACTCCCCAGGGAGCAGAGGATGATCCCAGGGAGAAAAGCGCCTAGAGTAGTTTTCTGGATATATGAGCAATAATTTTTAAAAATTTAAAGAAACTTATTTTTGATAAACAACAGAAACTATTTTGAATTTCATTTTCAAGTTATTAATTTCAACTCAGAAAGTATATTGGTCATAACACACATTATAAATTCAGTGAAATGGCAAGTTAAACAAATCTAATATGATTTGTGTTGATGACAGTGCACACCGTAACTGTCAGGTTTTAATAACGTATCATGGATAAATAACTACTGCAACCGTAACAAATAAACCAGCCTGGATCAACTACGCTCTACAGCAGTAAACACACCACATGTGACACAAATAAAATATGTGGAAACATGATACGTATACAGTATAACCAGGTACAAGATAAAATGGATGCTAATGCGGAAACGCGGCAAGTAATCAACCACAAAGCATATACTCATTATGAAACAGATTATGAGATATATTGTCGCGGGCAGTGAATTTATCTTGACCCGTCTCTGTGATTAATGCAGCGCACTGCAGCCGGAAAATATAAATTGTATTTCGTTAAATCATATTGCTACACAACTTCATAATCAATCTGACACGCTATCAAAAATATTTTCAGTTATTGTTTGAAGGTTTGCATGGTGAAGTAATAACATATATGTTGAAGCTTGCGGTACACCACGTAGGTAGTTCAACATATATATTTTCAGTTAAATATAAGAAATGTATACGATCTTATGAAGCTCATCCAAAGTTTATTATCTTAGGTATCTAAGTATCTAGTATTTTATTATCTGGGTATTTAACCTTTTTAGAATTCAAGATGCATGCATATATTTCAGTGTTATTACCAATAAATGTTTTTATTGTTTTACCATTTTATGCATGCAAAGTGTGTTAATTAAACTAAACTTAAACCAAATATTTGATAATTTTTTTTTTGGTACATTTGCATTTGTTTTGGTTTTTTTTTTTTTCTTCTCTGTTGTTGTTAAGCACCTCAAGGTTGTGTCAACGTGAGGTGCTATATAAATCCAGAATTATTATTATTATTATTTGATACAATTTAGTTTGTGCTCTAGGTCAAAATATATTTTTAAACCAGAATAAAATTTTAAAAAATAAAACATTTTTTATAATAATGATTAGGTTGGCTATAACAGTTCTACAGAGAGGATAAAGGTCATGACAAAGATTGTTATGCCTGAGCCCTACCAACCCAAAACTTAAACCAAAATCTAAGCTCCTTATTTTATTTATTTATTTATTTTTTTTTTGGCAAAATTATATTTTGTTACCAAGGAGACAAAAATACCTATACACAGACCAAAACATATTTAATTCTTTGTAAATGTCCTTTATCAAAACTCATTGTGAAGTGTTTTCTTATTTTAGGACTAAGCAAGTGTCTGCAAGTACTTTTTGCTATATTTTTGGATGGTCAAATTTGTATTATGCTACTATATTATTTGCTTTTTTCTTAATTTCTTTTTCTTTCTTTCTACTTCAGTTTGTAAAACCTCAAACTCATGGTCTTGTATGGTGATTTGAAAATAGTTTTGTAGTAGAAAATAGTTACTAACACTTCAAGCAAAGAGAGGATTTTGTTCAACTATCACAAAGAAAGCGAATATTAATACGATTTTTTTAGGTCCATTGGTCCATGAAATCTATCCTTTTGAAGCAATCAAATAAATAAACTTAACGACAATTTAAACACAAAAATTGAAGAGTAAAAAATGCACGGCATGAAAATATGGATTGAAATCTGGCAAAAAGCCAAACCTAATTCCCCAAACAGATGTTGTGTTTTACCATCTCCTATCAGTCAAATACAAACTAGCTTGCACAGAAAACCGATACTTTGACAACAAGCACTTTACATGTGTGCTTGGCTTTTTTCAAAATGGCCTCTTCAGAGACAGTTTCTTTTTGTATCCATTGCCCACAGCTGTCTTGAGCATCACCAATAACATCAGCCTCTTCAGTAGCTTTCAAATAATTTAAATGTTAGAAGAAACCATTAAAATTAATACTATTTTTTCATAAGTTTGAGGCACAAAAATCCATACATTCCATAAAAAAAGTATCATTGATAATACCAGTAACTTAGGGATTCATATAATACCAAAAGTATTAAGAAGTAAAGTTAAATACTATTTTCAATAATATAAAAGCAATGACAGCAGCACCTTGTAAATTTAATCTCTTGATGAAATTCAATGTGTGGACGAAAGTTAGAGATTAAATTTTACAAGTTAGCCTTAAAAGTGTTGCTGTCATTTCTTTTTTATCGTTCTATAGCAGACTAATGCGGCTACAATTTTTATTCATCATATTTTCAATAAGTTGGGATATACAAATTCATACTCTTCAATTTTTTAATAAATTTCTACCAAAAAAAATACCATAAACCAAATGATAAAAATTACTCCAAAGATATGAAAAAGGTATTAATAAAAAGCAATCTTAATAACTTTCTACAAGTATCATGAAAATACCATAAACCAAGAGATAAAATAATTCCAAAGATATTAATAAAAAGCACTTCTTAATAAATTTCTACAAGCATCATCGTTACCTGACAACACCTGATGAAGACCTATTGATTAGAGCTGAAAAGGTTCTTGATTACATACAGAGAAATCTCACCAAAACATAAGAGACAAAAAACTGATAATTTTCTCATACCATATTTCAACACATATGGTACATTGAGAGGTTAATTACAATCAGTTACAGTAACTCGCCTTGAAATCCTTAAAACTATCTTTAAGCCCTGCCATACGTTTATTGCAAGTATGATGAAAAATAATTGAATCGCTTAATTTAGAAGTAGGTGATAGCTTCTAATTGGTAATTTGAACATGAATTAACATATATTTTGCCATATTAATTACACTATAGACTGTGAAATTGGATGGTACCAGGTAATCTATTTTAAGTATCAGTGTAGTAAAAAGCAAATTAATTAAAAAAAAAAAAAAGAATTATTTTAGTCTATTTTTCATTCAACGGAATCAAAAGTATAGAAGGGAAGACAGCACAGTCCAGTTTGAAAATAAATCACTCCCCTATTTACGCCATGGAGTCGCCATTGTCGTCAAGGATTCGGCATCATCATCATAGAAGTTATGCCTGCTTTGCTCCGATTGTTTCGTAGATCATGCACATTCGTCATGCAAATTCTAGAAATAGTATCCCTATTACAAGCCTGTAGCGTGACTTAAGTTGTGGGAGGTTCGTTTCAGTGGAAAGCGGACCCTTTGTAAACCATTATACAATAATGTAATATTGTTAGCTGGGAAAGCTTAAGAAATGCCGACTTGAAATACTTCTGGCTTGTATGATCTCCAATACTCTGGAGAACACTGCAAATATATCTACGAAAATCAATTTTTCGTTTTCGAATGCGGACCTTCTCCAGTTTTTGGGCGGTTCGCCGTAACCCCCTTAGGTCTGCTATTATAACTATCGCCCTCTATGAAGAAATTGCATCATGTGGAAAAAAGATAAACAAACTGCTGGGTAATACTGGGTAATTAAAAAAGACAATCAGACCGCAGCACTGAGCATCGTTACATAGCTGTGTATAAGTCTCTGTCATTAATACTTACTGGTTCCCACTTCCCTTAATGTTAAACCTATTTCTATCCTTTACATGAATATTTCAAAATAAGATTTTGCTACAAACAGAAATCTTATAAAGTTAACAACCTGCAAACATACGTATCGGTATAACAAAATTGTCTGCTGGGGATAGCAAAAAATAATAGTTACGGTATGATGGCAATGATTATGGTAATTGGGATAATAATTATAAGTACTGTTGAAGTTAATAGATATTAACTAGACAATTTTACACATCATGATGTTATCATTATTATTACAATTTGCAAATTTAATTTAATTTCTAAATCTATGAATATCTCAAAGGATATTAATTCATTATGCAAATTCTGAATAAAAGTAAAACATATAATACCACTCCAGATGGCTTTTAATTAATTGTGAATAATAATCTACCAATACTAATCAAAGGTCATTTCAAATGATTATTCTTGCTCATTACATATAGTGCAACATTTATAAACATTTTTGAAGCACATTTTAATATAACAAGAAACATAAATTACATGCAATACAAAATAAAACCATAATGTTAGACCTTTTAATAGGAGTGTGTATTAAATCATGCCTCACAGTATGATGAAACATAAATAGTGATACAGGTTTAGATAGCGAAACATGAATTAAACAGTTCATTGTAAACTTTTTTCATTAACTTTTAGAACTTCTGGGATTATAGCTGGCTTTAATCACACCTCAAGAAGCACCTCTTCAACAATAATTATTGCTTTGAAATTCAACTGATATTTTTACCATTCATGTTACTGTTATTTTCATATTAAGCATTTTTTTACACTATAATATTTTTAAAATACAGTAGCTCTAAGAGGAATGTTTATATTACCAACTTCTGTATTTGTAGCATTCTAACATTGTTAACTGTATTGCTGTATTATATAATTGTTAAATTGCAATAACGATTACCTGATTTTTAATTTTAACAAACTTCAGACATATGCTTTTCATACTTTTTTTTTTATCCAGTTTTGCTTGTATTTGGATTTTTCCTCTTTTGCATTATTTATTATTATAAGGAATGTTGAGAAAAAACACTAAAGATTGCCCCATTGGCTACTTGTAAATCACAAATACGAAATGCTTGTTTTTAAGGAATTGGGGACAAACATAACTTTATATAACTCCATATCAACCAACCTGCCCTGGACTTTGTTCAACAGCATAAGCATTTCTGTCTCAGCACAGACTAATTAAAACTTTTATAGGGATTCAGATTACTGCAGCTACAAATATCTGGAATGAACTTCCACAAACTGCCAGGGATGCCTAAACCCTTGATGAATTTGTATCATATTACTTGAAGCTTTTCTTTTCAAATTACATTTTGGTTATAGTACAGTCTGATCTTTGTTGATTTATGTTTATCTGCACCACAAACTTTCTTTCATATAGTGGGTTATAAGTACGTTAGGTTGGTATCATAGAAGAAATGTTGTGGCTATAACTAGAAACTGATAGAAATAAATAAACTTTTAACTAAATTATATTTCAAAAACATAAAAACAAATAAAAATAAAACACACTGCCCGATAATAAGAAGGTATTAATATGCATCCTTTCATTCTGAAGTTTGCTACTAAATGAGAAAAAGATGTTCATATGTCAGTCAAGGTCCCTTGTAATATCTCGCAATCTTTACCCGCACCTGATAGGCCGAAAAAAAAATTGCGAGATGCATGTTCTAGGTTTTTCAGACGGTGTCTCATTCATAATGTTTGTTGTGACGATACAAAATTTATTTACTATTTACTCATAGACAGAGTAGTATAGTACAAGAGAAAAAATCATGTTTTGTTAGAGTTGTGAGGGAATGTAAAAAACAATGTAGGTACCGTTGTTGGCTCTAATAATACGGAGCCAAATTGCAGGCAACGCTGGTGAAATAAACTAATGTCCCGTGGGCAATTTCTAAGCCTCCAACTGCATATCTCTAGGCTCAGAGAGAGAATTAGGCTTATATGTAGGCTTTATTAATAATTATAGTTCAATGCTCTGCTTGTACGTATTTTCACAACTTAAATTAGTAATCTGTGACTGTATAATATATAACTGTTACCTTCAGGACCTTAATACTGCACTTGGTGGACTTATGCTCTTCCTTTCCCATTATCTGTCATGGATTCCATTAACGATGTACCATTCATAATAGATGTAGTTGCAAACAGAAACTTGTAGCCTATAGTAGAAAAAAACCAGTGAACAATTAACTTTATGTTTTGAGGCTGTCACTGTATGATTGATTAATATGAATCTATGCAAAAGGTTATAACAACGCAGAACCAGGTCAATGAATTTTGCGACATGTTGCACTTGGTTGAGGCACAGGATGGCTGCGATCGGTAAGCAAAGGTAGCATGTGTCTGTCCACACAATCAAATTGTGACAAATAACTGTGATATTTGTCACAGTTATTTGTCACAATTTGATTGTGTGACAAATAACTGTGATATGCCCATATTTGGGTGTAATATAACATCATCATGCCCATATATGGGCATATCAGACATATTTGTCACTTAAAATTTGATAGTGTGAACAGACCATTATTTGATCATGATGATGATGGTTTTAGTAGCCACTATCATACATTGCTCCTGTGACAAATAACTGTGATATGCCATTTTTTGGGTATAATATGACACCATTAAGCCCATAAGATCTTATTTGATGATGATGATGATGATGATGATGGTTTTAGTAGCCACTATCTTCATAGACTGCTCCCATTGAATTCTGGTAATCATCCACTAATCATTCTCCTACCTTTTAAGATTTTCAACCGATGAATAACACATCAATATTAACATTGCTATTGGAATGATTAATTAAAGGTCCGTGTCAAGAAAGGTGTGTATATAATGCTAACACAATTGATTAAGATTAAAAAGAAGGAAGGGGGAAAAAAGAAGCAAGAATCTTTATTAGCTCAAGATCAACTCATGCAGAAAGTCTGAACGCGTTCATGAATTTTCAATAAACATGTCTGTTTTGGTATATGTAACACTTCTCGCCTCATTAGAGACATATATAATTTTATGTGAACACTTCAAGTGTGGGTACTGCACAAGTGTCGATGAAAAATAATTTAAAAAAAAAATTGTATTCTATAAATAAAAGTAAAAATTATAAAGAGCTAAGCTAAGCAAAACAACAAATTTTTGTTTCTTGTCCCTGCCAGCTATATTTTTATGCACCTAAAGTTTTTTATATTTATATATATATTTATTGTCATGGACAGAAATTTACTGACTAATTTTTCTACTTCTCTACTTTGGCCTGTATACTCTAGGTCAGATTTGAGGTTAGCAGAATAACGACTTGATATAAAAAGGCAGAAAAGCAAAAAAAGCTCCCCTTCCTTAATCTTTTTCTCAAAATGATTGAATAAGAAATTGTTTACAATTGTTGTGGAAAGTCCCTACAAGAGAATTTACCAGTCAAAGTAGGTTGCCATTAAGATTTATTTTTTTTAGCAGTGAAAATAGAAATTCAAATATATGCAGGATTTTATTTTTTCCTCAGGACTCTCAACTGCATAGCCTTCATACCACTGTGGCAGTTTGACATTCCAACTTTATCAGCTGAGCTGGATCCAAAATCTTGTTAGCAAAATTGCTATATGAGCATCTACAGTACTATGTACATACTTCTTCATACACCGGTATCCATGATTGAGTTTGAAGATTGTGTGTGCTACACAGATAAATATGCGATAACGAAACAAATCAATATTTACCTTTCATTGCACCAAGAAGACGAAGAGCAGCTATTTCAGAAAAGGTGCATCCACCTAAGAAGTAAACTAATACAACCTTGTTGGGAATTTTTGCAGAACCTGACCTTTGACCTGCAATGAAAGAAAATGTCATGTTTCTAGAACACTGAACTATTAGGGAGCTTTCGATTGCACAATGGCGGTAGGACGTAGAACGTAATGACATCACTAAAAGTCATCTGCGCATGCGAGAACGTTAAGGTCACCTCGTCAAGCAGATTCTGAAACGCAATTTGGTCAAATCTATGTATGCAGAGAACTTAGGACGCCAGGTAGAACGGTCACGCATGAGTGATTCCGTTCTAGCGTCGCGTCGTTGCACAAATCAAAAGCCCCCTATTAATTCAGCTGGTGTAGACTAAGCTCAATAGCCCAAAAATCTAAGAATGGCTATTTTTTGGGCAAAATATTCATTTTTTCGAAGGAGCTAATATTGTAAAACAATGTTTGGAAGTAATGCAATTCAATTTAATTGCCCCTAGCTGAATAGGTATAAAATTTTGGCAGGGCAACGGAAGCCTGTGGACAAGCTGCAATGCAGTGCTACTCTAGGTGTTTGCCATAAGCAATCATGTGCCCATTTTCTAAAGAGTGTGCTGTGTTATTAAACTTGCACACAGCATTGTGGTACTCAGGGCTAATGGCTTAAATACCTCTTCAGAAAGACAATGTGCTATATTATACTTTGTTTGGGGGGGGATGTGGATGAATGAAATAGAACCCGGGATGTAAATATCTCCACGGTTCAGCGCACACACAATGGTCACTACCAGTTTTATCCACTCTCCACATAAGGGTCCATTCGAGCAAAAAAATATCTGTGCGGTTTACCAGTTAATTCACCAGTACATACTTTCAGGCACTTGCTTAATTACCTTACCATCCAACCTTGGAGCTGGAGGTGATGTTAACTAAACTTAAATTGATTTTCTAAATATTCACAATTCAGAGCGCAAAATTCAATAGGGTTATGGCCCAGGCCTGGCAGCAGCAAGCGCTGCAGTTAGTAGCACCCGCTGTCACCGCGCTTTCCTTGCCTCCTCATGTGCACGGCAAGATAAAAGTTGGATTGGACAGTAAATATATCAGCATAACAGCACATCTTTGTAGCCATAATGGTAGGTTGTAACATAGGTACATGTTTGATATGTAGATTTACCACTGAATTCGGAGAAATTTGAATACAATACTCAAAAAGAGTATTATAACTTAATTGAGCTTGGATCTCGTTCCCACGACCCATGTCCACGCTGTATGGTACGTGGGTACAGCAGTAGAAGGTAAACACAGAACGGGTTGATGGGATAGGTGTTCCTCATTTGCATTTGATGACCTTAGAAATTTACTTCTGGAATAGTTTTGTTTAATACACAGTATTTGGTGTGAGCTAAAATTTTCTCGCACAGTCGACCACCCAGTGAGTGTTCAGCGCGACTAACAGGTAAATTAAACAGAATATGATTGGCTTTTTTCGCCAATTCGTAGTTAGAACCGCGCATTCTCGTACCAAGGTCAATCAACATAAACACCATACACACAACATAGATTTATATCGATTGACCTTGACTGACCCTGGATTCAGGCATGCACAACTCCAACCCCGCATTGCTTAATGCAATGTCAGTAACAGAGACATGACATGGATTACTGTGATCAGGATTTGATTCCAGGCCTCTTGCATGTGTCCTTGGCTTAGACACATTATCCAAGTTATCTCCCTCCATTTAGGAGAACATATGGCCGGATGCCTGAATTAAAATTGAAGTATAAGTTCTTAGAGCATTGTTCTAATAACGCAAAGCGCTTCAACGTTTGTAAGATGCAGTAAATAAGACAAATATTTTTATTACCTTTTGCAGACATGGATCTTGTAAAGCTAATGTTTTCTCCAGGCAACAATTTAACTACTTCTTCTAGTGTATTAGAGGGACCTTTCATTAAAGTCTGTATTGAAAATATCAATAAAACAAGATATTTTATTCATACAATCAATTGAGAATTTTCCAAATTTTTATTTCAAGTGCAAACTGCATAACAAGATTGATTAAAGATTTATGATTTCATATGCAACACAAGCCAAGACAAAAAATATTATACTTATAGGGAAATGATGATGTGTAATATTAAAAAATAAACATTAGCTGCTGTAATACTTCTTCATTTAAACAGAAAAATAAGAGATAGGCAAAAGCTTTTAATGTTTATTAAAAGGTAAGATGTGATTTAATGAGACAGTAAACAGACACTAATAAAATAGGAATCCATCCTTGCTAATCAGAGATAAACTGTCATTAAAGATACATGTAAACTGTATGTCATAGAGTCAGTAAAACACTGAATTGCTTATTTAAAAGGAACAGATAACTAAAATGGAATACAAAATAAACCACTGATTTGTAGACCTATTACTACAAATATCCTTAACTTGATTATGAACCAATTTAAGGGTCTATACAAACAAATATAGAAACTGGATTATCATATTTATAAAGCTATTAACAGACAAGGAAATTATTTTCTAATTTTCAATTACAAGAAGGATAAAAAAATCAGCCTAGATAACATGCAAGGCAATTCAAATTAATAATTATACATAGTTTTTTTTTAATCATATCACAAATGGTATACAGTAGCACCCCTCCTTTGGGACACCCCTATTAAGGGGACACCCCTATTAAGGGGACACACTGTAGGAGACACTCTTCAACCGCAAAATGAGAAAAAGTATATTTTTTAACACTACGGCCCATTCAGGGGACGCCTGGGGACACAAATTTTGGTTGTGAAGATGTCCCCTTAATACTATTAGGGGTTTTACTGAGTTAAATACTGTGCTAAAAAATGCAATTAGACTATATAAATGCAGAATTCATTGCATCTGTACAAATAATAAGCAACTGTATTCTTTATGTGCCCCTTAATTGGTAAGGAAAACATTGATTCAATTAAAAGATAATGTTGTCTTCTAAAAATAGTACTCAATGACTTGATTGGTCAGAACTTTGATGTGAATAATGTGTGTCCTAAAAGTTAATTTTCACTATAGACAGCATCTTTATTGGCCAAATTTATTACATAACAATATCTATAAATCCGAACAACTGCACTATATTTACAGCTACACTACGTATTGTAAGCATGAAAATGGAAAATGTTTCAATGTTCATATGGACAGTCGAGAGCAGCTGGTACCAGTTTACTGGGTAGCTCTGACACAAAATAGACTCTTAAGGGAGAAGAAAAATACTGTCTGAGCTAGCCCACGCTTTGAGCATGAAATAGCACTACATAAGTGCTGTAATGTATTTATATGCACGATTGAATGAGACAATAGTGGCGCAATGCCTCCAAGCCGAGAGCTCAAATCATAAACTTCTACTCTATCTGTGTCCTTGGCAAATTATTTATGTTTGTCTCTTTCTACAGTCCCCAGGGATAAGACTATGCTGTACACTGTGTGATAATAAAACAAGATGAGTTACATAAAGATGTCTGTTAGTCGAAAAAACTACAATAACATGTTTACAGTTACACATTTCATTTCACTTCATATATTTATTCGACCAACATTTACAATTACAATGACAATAAAATACAATGTGAAAAAAACTCAGATGAGCCAGCTATAGCCCTTAAAATCATGTTGTATTATATGCTTAAATAAAGATGGCAACAGAATTTCCATATGGGATTGAATGGTACAATGGTTCTGCAATGAACTCTGCCTTAATTTGAAAGTTCAAATCACCTGCATCCATTCCGGTCTTGTCCTTGGCCATGTTAATACATTTATACTTTTCTCTTCTCACTTTCCCAAGGGAGCAAACTAAACTTTTATATTGTGTAATAATGAGTGGAAGGCTCTATTACCTTCAAATTAGGAAAATGTTTTATGTATATTTTATATATTGCATTTTTTTCTAGTTTGCAGGAATGGCCCGTAGACACTACTAAACACATTGTATTATTATGTAATTTTATCATTATTACTTATACAGAATTACTCTATGTCTTACCTGTTCTATAAGCTTGCAAGAGAGTGGCGTGTACGCACCACTAAACACATATGACATGTCGTTTGGATTTTGGAGTTGCACACTGTCTTTAGGAACCTGCTCAAAAAAAAATAATGTAGTGAGAATATAAAATTATTAAAATTGTAGTAGATATTAACATTTAATTAAAGTTTCATTCACATGTCATTCGAAATTTGTATGTTGGCTTTATATGTAAGAATTATAACTTAATTAAAAAAATAATACTATCATTTAATTATACTGTATTGTGATACAAATGTTTACATGCATTTGGTATCTTAAGTATGTGTTATACTATCTTATCTGAAATTAATCAGTGGACCATTCGGTAAATGTCTACTAGTATATGATTAAAAAGAAATTTTGTTTTAAATATTTGTTTATATTAGAAAATTCAAGTGAACCTACTAAATTCCATTTTTTACAAATAGCTCTGAATGCGGTTTTCTTTAATGCTTTATCAGCCAACTTTTGCACATCCGACATGGAGAGCTTTGTCACATCTGTTCCTTGCTGTTCCGTGAACAGTCCGCACCTCTTCAGATTTGATAGCGTTAACAAGTGTTCATAGCCATAACTTTGAAGGAAATGAGACTGCAGAGTTTTGAAGTCTTTACTGGGAAGACCTAATGAAGTACGAAATAAATGTGGTTAGGAATTAATGAAAAATATGTATATATATATTTTGGAATTGAAATCCAAACATGGGCACAGCCCCTAGACCGTAATCTGTTGAAATCAGCAGCAGGCCGACATAAATTGTGTACTGTATTTTAATTTTTTTCTATGTCAGTCCCACCCATATTCTTTTACAGAGATGGATTCGATATAAGGAGGCAGGGAAGAACTTTCACAGATAGGGGGAAAATACCACCTAAGCCCCACCATTGTTGGGGCTGAGGTAAGACATTTTATGATTATGGCACCTCTAAAAGGTCAGAGATTTCACTTGAATTTTCTTGTCTTCTCAATTTTATTTTAGAATTTTGAAAAAAAAAAATATTGCACTCCAGGTTTTCTACATTGACACTATAAAATTCCTATCATGAAAATATCCACTCACCATGGTTGGGGCTGAGGTGAACTAATTTTTAAAGATACCTCTAGATTCCTGGAAATAGCACTTTCAGACTAAGTTTTTGGGTCTACTGCCCTCAGGCAGTAGACACCTTGCTATCCTGGTCAATCCGGAAGCATAAAGTTGACATTGTGAGCGTGAGTTGACATTCACAAAAGTGTGAAGTAAGAATCCAGAAGTGTAAAGTTGACATTATGTCACATTCGTGATGTGTGATATGACGTGATTTTACTACTCTACTACCTGTAAACTCGGTCGTGTGACAGTGTGGTACGATGCATTCCTAACCAATTCGTCATTATCTATCAGGTGCACAGTTCCAAAAGTTGGAAGTTAAAATTAAATCGAGTAGAAGTGGTTAAATGGGTGTAGTTGAACTCAGGTCGAGACTGTTTTGCTTGTGGTTTTTCCCGTTGTTTTTTCTACCCTAACTCGGTGGTTTTGGAGTTGCAACAAAAACTATTAATAATAATATTATAATTTCATTAATCACTTTCGACATCACCATTTCTATTAAATTTGGCAGTAGACACACGCTCCTGCTGAGAGCCTATTTTTAAAGCAGTGTTTTCAACAGCATAACATGCTCCCGAGCATGCTGGTGCCGCAAATGGTTAAACATCGCATCATATCAACGCCACACTTAATCCATTATCTCCATTAGAGTCCCCCTCACCATGTCAAAAACTTATGCTTCTAGATACAGTTAGCTACACACAGAAAAAGCCACACTCTTGTAAACCATGCTAAAGTAGGGGTGCCTAGGTGGTGCTTGTATAAAAAAAAACCTTTCTAAAAATTGGCCGGAAAATGATTATTTTTAGCAATGCTGCGTGTGCCGGATCAAAATCTCTGGTGGGCCGGAATCCCAACCCTGTTGGGTTAATCCTGTTGTCATTATCAGGTACACATTTACCAGATGTAAAGTATTGTTCACAAAATACATAACCAGGAATAACTGCTCTCACATACAATCAAATATAAAAGACATAATATTCAATAAATACAATAAATTCTAATTTATACTTATTCATGAATACAAGCAAGATACAAGCAATACTGTATGTATTAATGCAAGACAAGATATGTAAATACCATATTAGTTCCAGGAAAGATATGGAGACACACCCTAAGGCTATGATATCACTTTAATGATGTGTTTCTATACTAATGCACAGACTGAATAAATATAAAATCAATAATTTTTAAAGTATTATATGACATAATATAAAATACACACCATTTGATGCCAATGACAGTAAGCACATCAGTCTTAAAGTCTTGGTTGCTGAAGTCTAAAAATAGAAAAGGAAAACAATTTGTCTAACACTGATTTAATTTGCTTTAATGCGACACTTGCTTCAAGCCACAATGCACAGTAAAAGAGGAATACAGAAAACACTGCCAAAGACAAACTATGGGTAAATGGAAAAGAAAATACAAGATAAGGTAGTCGCCGCACGACATTAACCTTAACTTTAACGTTAGTACCTAAAATGCAAAGCGATAGCTCCGCCCCTTTTGTAAACAAATCGAAATATGCATGCGCAACCCGTAACTAACGTACGTCGAGCACGTAAAATCCTGAAATAAACGTACTCCGCAACGCAAGATGAATAAATTATGACATCATCCGTTAAGGTTAACGTTGTGCGGCGAAAACAACCTATTAACGTACTTCGCAACGCAAGATGAATAAATTACGACGTCATCCGTTAACGTTAAGGTTAACGTTGTGCGGCGAAAACTGCCTATTGTCAAGAAACGTGCCAAGGGTCCAAATCTTCTAGATTCAGAAATTGTTTTATCATGATACTGTACCATATGAAGTTTTTTTTTTTTTTTGCTTTACCGTTATTTTTTTTCCCCTTGCAAATCTTAAAAAAAAGTGTGCAAATTGTTGATTCCATAACAAAGCCAACTATATTCTGATACAACTCAATGCCTACTTATTACATCATTCTGTTTTGTTCTAAAAAAAAACAATATATACTTCACTTTACACATAAGCATTAAAGGTCAAAACATTTGAAAAGCAATCAAACATACCATATGGTGAATAGTGGGTAGGTGTAGTAATACATTTTCACATAAAATATCACAATCAAATATATAGATAGACTAGATGCTATAAAGTTAGGTCTCACAGCTTTCTAAATGGGTCAATAAATGAGCAAGGATGCACTTCAAATGCTCGGCAACATTGAACATGCAGAAAATCGAAGATATCAGACGACGATGTTGTAAAAAATTGTTACTACTTCAGAAAGTGAAAAAATAGACCAAAAATAGCAATGTTTTTTATTTCAAATGCAATACACTGTATTTTTTTTAATGCATTCGTGTATCATTGTATTTTTGATATAAACAAAAATAAACAAAATTAGAGATTAATTATGACTAGGATTGAGTTTTGTGGATTTTTTTCTGGTTTATCTAAAGAAAAAATAATTAACCTAAATGCTGTAAGATGAAATATAATAATAGGTAAAATTAGTTAAGGAATTTATATATTTTTATATGGTAATTTTAATGAATTGTATAAAGACATTAATAATGTGCAATTAAGGATTTTTTTTATATATTTAGAATTTATATTTTTTCGACAGCAAATAATAATACCTCAAATTTTAAAAGCACTTGTTTAGTTCTTTTGTAATTTTAATGAATATAGCAATCAATTTCAATGCCCTTTTTTAAATGTATTTATATGTTTTTATATTGTAATGCAATCACATTCAGCCATCTGCTCTCAATTGTAAATTATAGGAAGAAATTTTCAAATATTATTATGAATACATTATTCTATAGCCATCTTTATTTATGTTACGTGTTGCATTTGCACATTAATTATTATCTTTTGATATAATATTATTATTAGACTCAGCATTTAAAAGGTAAGAGAGAGGATCGGATGGTCAGATATATTGCAATATGTGAGGAGTTCAGTTAAGCACGAGAATAATTAGTCAATTATCTTATCCTTATCTCTTGAAGGCATGATTGATTTAATGAAACATGCCAATTATATCACTGAATTCACAAGTTGTATGCAATCAGGGGTCAGCATTTAATACAGCAAGATAATTAATCAACTGAACGTCATGTTATTCTCAGTTCACGTTGAGGGCAGTACACAGGGGACTGCAGTCTGTCTGTTAACACCAACGTATAATTACAAAGATAATTAAAGATCAACTCTTGTATTTGAGCTATGCGAGCTCAACTGAGGAGGAACACCACACTAGCAAACTAAAATATACACAGGATTGATAGTACTGTACATATTATTAGTTAAAGATGTACTTTCCTTTGTAAAAAGAAAAAAAAAAAATCATTTTTTTAAAATTTACTTGCCCATTTTGACGTAACATAAAAATTATCAACTTGAACATAGAAATTAGTGTATTTTAAAAAATGCTTACCCATAAAAACCATCATTTTACAGCGAAAAAATGATAGAAACACCTCCAGTCACTGGAAGTGTTTTATTATATTTATTATAATTATCCAGTTAAAAAATCGGGGAACACATTTTTAAAATTTAATAATATCTATGCTCAAGTTAATAATTTGTATGTTACTGCAAAATGAGCAAGTTAATTTAAAAATTATTTTTTATGATTTTGGTCATTTCCAAGGGACAGTACATCTTTAACAAAATAAAAAATTTGATTTAAAAAAAAGATAATCCTGAATACCATTTTACAATTCCAGGAAAAAAATAAACTAAGGATTCATCAATGAACATACTTGGGGGTTGACCATCTGGTGGTGAATTGGGCTTTCCACCAGGAGACAATCTCGAACTCTCTTCCAAGAGAGTGTACTGCATTCTTTAACATGCACATTCATTCACAGATACATTAAAAAAAATAATGGTATGGATGACATAAAAAAAATAATGCTAAGAATGATATAAAACAAAATCCCAGAAGAGAATCAATCTTGCCATAAATCTAACAATTTATGAATATAACTCTGGTTACAAATCTCTAAAATATTCATTCTTGATTCTAATTATTGCTATTTTTTTTATAAATGGAATTTTTTTTTTTTATTTTAAATTGCATGTACAAATTCAATCCCCACATCGATTAGTATGCTCATTATCTGACAGATTTCTATCTTTGAAAGAAAAAAAAACACTTTGAAATAATTTGATGGAAATGAATGGGGAATACCAATAACAAGTTAAAAAATTTGTTTTTATAACAGAAATTATTGAATGCTCACATGCACTGAATGATGGATGAGATATGTATATTTATAAAATCACAGATTCCTGGAAGGTTATACAGAAGAAATAATATAATGATAAGGACAAATGGTGACGATGATGATGTTTATGATGTCAATGACAATGATGATGACACGGTGAACATGAAGATGACAATTATGATAATATTGAAGATGATCATGATATTGATGATTATGATAATTCATGATCATGAACATGCTTTGCTTCTGCTACGCTTGAATTCGGTTGGTGACTATTCATCAGTTAGACAGAAGTGTCTATCTGATGGCCAATGTCTTTCAAAGAAAGATGGCTAACATTAAAAATAATAATAATAATAATGATAATTACAATGATAATGACAATGCTGATAATATGACAATACAGTAATTATAAAAGTGATGAAGATGATAATATTAATAATGATAATATCATTCCCATGTTTTTAGGAAAATGATTTAAAGTTACTTTGTGGTCTATAGTACTATATATTATAGGATATTTATATCGCACATTTTGCCAAGGAATACAAGTAAATAGCATAGTGATGTTGTTTTTTACCCTTGTCATACATCGATATTGTAAATAGGTCTACAAATTCTTTCATGGTACCATTTTTCTTTCTATTGGGCTGACTGAGAAAAACATAAAGTAAGGTGTCACAACTGCTCCCACATGCCATACACTATAACACATCAAGTGAAATTCTATCGTGATGTCATTGGACTATCGCTAAATGATTAATGCACGCTTCAAAACGAAAAGATGTGTAGTACAGATGGTAGAAGAACAAACAAAAATAACATAAGTGATAAAACAAGGGCAAAAAACATGAATGAAGTTGTACTGATCAAAATCACTTGATTAAACTATTAGGACAAGTTTTATGCAAAGTATAAAGTACAAAGAGGGTATAAACAAATATTTAATATTAACAAGAAATATAGAGTTTAATATCTATACATATCGAGCACTACAAACATAGAATACACATTATGAACGTGAGAAAGGATATTTTCCTTCCCATCATGCTTTGCTATTTGTGCAATTGCATAATATTCACAATACTAATATACATGCACTATTCTACTCAATATATGACATTATGAGAAATCAATGACACCATTAAAAATATTAATGAAAACAATTTTTTAGAAAATCAATAAAAAGATGGGTAGACATCTATAGCCCATTCAGAAAAATAGTTATTAACAATAAAATTCTAATTCTTGCAAGAAAAACAAGGACTTTTGACTAGAAAGTCCTTGGAATACTTGCAATAAAGTAAAGTCATTATTATTCAAATATCACTATATATACAAAAAGTGCATGCACATAAATTGACTTGCAATATATTAATATACAGATACAGCACTTAGAAAGAATTTTCTCGTTAACATGTTCTAGCTTTGGATATAGAGGAAGGGAAAGTATTTTGAAGCTTTGCCACCAACCTGTAGCCACCTCCCCTCCAAATAAGCCCCTGGTATCATCAACTGTTCACTGCTATAATGTGGTGTTTTGTGAGGAAACATGATGTACTGTCTCTGTATATTACTGAATTAATGTGTACCTAAAACGACTCCAACTTACACTTTATTACTTTCAGATATTACACCAATCATGCTAGCAAACAAATAAAGACTAACCTTTTCTTCCTGAATTCAACAAGATACAATTATTGACCAAAAACAAAAAATGTTATTGGGAAAGGATGTTTGAAAATGTATATCATACATACTACACATAAATCATGGAACAAAGTCTACAACATAGAATTCTTATAAACGATATACTATGCACTACTCTCCTAAAATCTAAGCTTTATCTTCAGAATACTGTACTTCCAAAATGAGTTTTCTAAAAATAGTGGGTTTTTTTTTCCAAAATTCTTTTGCTATATAACTGGTAAGCCTTCATCTCTTCATGTCAATATTATAGTTGTGTTGGTTTCTCAATTCATTATATCTTTATATTAGAAAATAAAACTTTAAAAAAATTTAGTACTTTAAAGACAAGAATATTTGACAGTACACTAGCTTTCGTACACACGCTGCACTTCTTCAGGTGAATCTTTATATTACATTATGATCTTGTACTATTGAGTACTTACAGTAGTCATTTTCTAATGGGTATGATGTGCCCTACGATACATTAAAGCCCCATTCCCGGCAAAATTTCACTAAAAAATTGACTTTTTTTAGAAAATATGCATTTGCATTACTCCAATTATTATAAATCATGGAAAAATATTGGCATGAATTTTAGTTTTACGCACAAGAATAAAAAAAATGAGAAATACAGACTATTTCTCATAAAATATTACCATTTTCTCGACGGATTCATCGTTACTAGGCAAATTCAGAGGTTGTAGATCGCATCCACTGGAATACTCTCGCTTTTATGTATACTTTATACAGTCAAAGTCTACAACATAGAATTCTTATAAACGATATACTATGCACTACTCTCCTAAAATCTAAGCTTTATCTTCAGAATACTGTACTTCCAAAAATGAGTTTTCTAAAAATAGTGGTTTTTTTTTTTTTCCAAAATTCTTTTGCTATATAACTGTTAAGCCTTCATCTCTTCATGTCAATATTATAGTTGTGTTGGTTTCTCAATTCATTATATCTTTATATTAGAAAATAAAACTTTAAAAAAATTTAGTACTTTAAAGACAAGAATATTTGACAGTACACTAGCTTTCATACACACGCTGCACTTCTTCAGGTGAATCTTTATATTACATTATGATCTTGTACTATTGAGTACTTACAGTAGTCATTTTCTAATGGGTATGATGTGCCCTACGATACATTAATACATTGATGTTTAATATTGATGTTATTCAATATAGCACCAATGTAAGATTGATGGTATTCACATAACATAATGTAGCACAAATGAAATCTTCTAATGGGTAGGATGTGCCCTATGATACATTAATACATTGATGTTTAATATTGACATTATTCAATGTAGTACCAATGTAATATTGATGGTATTCACATAACATAATGTAGCAAAAATGAATTTAAGATGACCAAGTGACACAATAAACTAAATCAATAAATTTAAAACAGCAAATGCAATTACGTAAAAGATAAAAGAATTTATCTGCCTTGAGGTGGGTGGCTCATGGGATCAAGGATTTGCTATTGAATAAGATTAAAATAAATTAAACGAAAATGTTAGCATATCTGCACACGATTCTTTGCTTTAATTCAAGGTAATCTAGTGAAAGTAATCTACTCTATTTCAACACACCAGCAATGTAGCCATACGATTACTGATATTTAATAACCATATTTCATTCTTAAATTAAACCCTAGTAAAACTAAACTTCTTGTTATTTCTTCCAAATATCGTACTCGCCCAGTTCCTGAAATTAACATCAATTGTAATGTTTAAACATATTTCCATCTTCTTTGGTTTGGAACATATGGGTCATATTTGACAAACATCTTGATTTCAGCAACCATATATCATCTGTATGCCGATCGGGTTACTTTCACCTTCGCTGTATCTGTTCCATTAGACCTTACATCTTATCTTCTGCTGCTGCTTCTCTTGTTCATGCGATTATTTCATCCAAACTTGACTTCTGCAATGCATTGCTCAATGGTTCACCTGCTATTAGCATTAGACACCTTCAGAACTTCAGAACTCTGCTGCTTGTGTTGTAACACTGTCTAAACGGTTCACCCATATTACGCCAATTTTAAACATTCTTCAATGGCTTCCGGATAATAAGCGAATCATTTTTAAAACTCTTCTTCTCACCCACAAATCTATCCATGGTCGTGCCCCACTATATCTTTGTTCACTTATTGACAAACATGTTTCTTCCCGTTCTACTAGTTCTTCTCAATCCCTCAAACTTGTTACTCCACGAGTCAAGCTTATTCGTACCAGTGAAGGCTCTTTTTCCTTCTCTGCTCCTAAAAAACTCTCTGCCCCCTCAATTACGTATCATCTCTGATCAGGAATTATTCAAATCCAGTCTTACATCCTTCCTCTTCAAATAGTTCAACTTCTTTCTAACATCTTCCAGCGCCGGTTCCAAGCCAGTTTTTGTTTGCTTTAATAGGCGCTTTAAAAATGTGTATTATTATAATTATTTATTCTCATTGCACAATGAGCGACTCATCTCTTTGCTAATACATTTGTGGAATTATAACAGTATGTACATTTGACAATGTATAATCAGTGGCGAATCCAGGAATTTTTTGCCGGGGCATGTGATTTACAATCAAGAACCTATGGACTAAGTGGTGCGAAAGCCATGGTGCATGAGAAAGGAGTTGAAATGTTCTCTCACATATTGTAGGGGTTCAGTGAGCAGTGAGTTTTAATTTCTTATCTAAAAGATTTCACTCATTTTTATGACTTTAGGGGGAAATCATTTGTTTTGCCCTCCTGGATCTGAGTCTATTCTTCTGTTTTTTATGCATCTTTGCAAATACAAAGCGTGAAAAACTGACACTGCACCTCAAAACCCCAAGTCTGAACGGACAAGAAGAAATTCCCAAATGAAGCAGTTTAAATAAATAACAGAAACAAAATATAGGGTAAAGTTGAGATAAAAAATGAAACAAAAAAAATTTTCACCCCACCGCCCACCCAAAAAAAAAAAAGAGTTCATTATAAAAATTACAGCCTGTTGCTATCGAATGACAGCCTCAGCATTTAATAGCTACTGATTTAACTCTGCTTGATTCTAGCAAATTTTAATTTATCTTACTATTTTTCTTGTAAAAAAAAACATAACGTTTGCTTACCTGCCTGTCAAGTTTCTCCTCAATGAAGTTAAAATTATCTCTGTAGCCGCTACCCTCTACAATTGCTATGAAAACAATAATATTTGTTACGGAACTAAACACCAATTATATACATATTTGTATTTTTATTGTTTTGTGTTTAATAACTGAACATAATAATGAAGACTACTGTAGAACACTCACCATGTTCAGTTTGGAGATGGTCCCTAAAATCTGGTTCTGTAGTTGTCTGGTTTAAGATCTTCTCACATGCCCCAATATCTGCAAAGACAAAGTTCTATATAAAGACCGCATCTGATAATTATTAATTTAATAATAATAATAATATAATAATAATAACAATAATAATAATAATTATTATAATACACAATAATAATATTGATTTATATAGTATATTTTCAGATTTCTGTTCAATGTGCTTTACATATATATGATGATAAATAATGACAACAATAACACTAACTACACTTACTATGTGTGTTTGTACAAAGTAAGTACAAAATTACATAGTAGATCTATTAAATGAAATAATGAGGAATGTTGTTTGAATTTATGTAAGACAATACAAAAAAGTGTGATGCCTCGGGTGACTATGACAATGAGTTTCAACCATGACGTTATACTGTAGAACTCAACACTGTAAAGATTGCTTGATTTTCAGTCTATATTTGTATTCTGTCTCAAATTTAATAGATTAAGGGTGAAGATTGTTTATACATTTCACAGAAAATGTAGGTTAAAATTCAAGATTAACATCAAGTTTATTGATTTAAGCTTAAAATGTTTTCAACCATAAAGTATTTTGGGCTCCTCCTTGGTAAACATGAATATACAGTTAAAGTATATATTTGCAAACATGCAAGCTACACTGGATTTTGAGAATTTTGGGTCAGATGGACTTAAACAACACAAAGTTTATTTTTTGTACAGCTCCTAATGCGTAAGTTTGTCATGTATACCATGGTATTCATTCTGATATTGTTGTTTATGGTGTATCATAATTTTTTTTAATGATAATAACAAGGAGGATAATGATGATGAAAACGACGAATACAATTCAAGAGGTTGTTTTCTACTTACGAATTGTCAAAGATTTAAATTGTTGCTTCAAGTCCTTAAGTTCATTTTGTACAAAATCTTTCATCTGTCCAATCTGTGTTATGTTTTTACCTTTCTTTACAAAGAAAAAAACCAAAAATTAAAAATTAATGAGTACTAGCAGTAAGTATAGTGTGCAGTGTAGAACATTTGTTTTCAGGTTTCAAAACATGAATGCTTGTTAGATATTTGAGGGTTTCTACTGCATGAAGTCTGAATGGATTGAATCTGTGATATACCAAAAGGATATGAGGTGAGAGATTCAGATTCATGTTCAAATTCACCTTTATTTGTCATATATCAGTACATGGGAACAAATATAACACTAATAAAATATATTCAGAAATGCAATTTATACACAAAATATCAGTTTTGTTTTACCACAGACACGACTTATCGAGCAACACTATGACTCCTGTTAAAAAAAACCATTCGTTGAAGAGCTAATTTTCGGCATGATCATAAAATCATTATACCTTTTTTATGTTCACAATGCTACTGATTTACATAGCTGGAACATTTACGTATTAAAATGAAACACTATGTACTTACTGAGTATCCAGTTTGGACTGACTGTGCCTTGCTTTTAAGGAATGTGAAGACATTTGTTATATGACGATTCCTTATTTCATCAAACACCTTTAAGAAACAGATTATCCAAAATTTCATTCAATTCATATATTATTATGACGATTGAAGATATTAATAACAATGATGATAAGGAAGATAGAATACTATAATGAAGGTAATGATGCTGGCAATAATAATAAAGATTATGAAGATGATGGTGATGACGCTAAATCATAATGATGATGAAGGTAATGAAGATTATGATGATAATAATGATGGCGATGATAATGACGATGATGATAATGAGGATGATGATTGTTTTGATAATGATGATGATGACACTGATGTTAATGATGAAGATTATGATGGCAATAGTTGGTGGTTCTTGTAGTGGTGATGATAATGCAGATGAAGAGATGATGATGAATATGGTATATTATATAACAGTGATGACAATTGATTGCTAATACAAATATCGGACATCTCACCTCATCTTCACAGTTCAATAAAAGCTTAACGCTTTTATCTGTTCCAGTCACTTCAGGTCCAAACTCACAATAGCCTAATAATTTACATAGAATACTGTAATTTTTGTATATTGTCCTACAAATTCATGTTGCATTAGAATTCTATAGTAAACCAAGCAAAAGACTACATACCAGCTCATCTCTGGTGAAAATTATACAGTATTGAGAAAATCTTGTTCATTGTGTACAGATTTCAATTGTAATTTAACAAAAAGCCAAGTTTTTAAATATTTAAGACTTTCATTGGATGATTTTAAGGCATAAGAAAACAAAAATGTATAATTGTTAAAAGGCTATAATATGCAACTTAATTTAACAATTGTGACCGGCTCTGGCAAAACCCTCCTTTTGTCGTAATTTCCCACAAGCACCCAAAACGTTTGAGAACCAGAATTTTGGAAAAATTTCATGTTTTTGCAATATTTATAAGATAACATATTTTGAAGTACATTTCTATAAAATATCAATCACTAAGTCTAACTGAAAAATATATTAAAATTATTTTTAAAATACAAATCTTAATAATAAACTATTGACTTTGGAGTCTTTGGAAGCTGTTTTCTCAAACCTACATAGCTGATATCCAATGAAATAAATACTCATAACTTTGGTAATACTCAACCAATTTTCATCAAATAAACACTGTTTTAAAGAAGACTTCATGCAAAATTTAAAAACACCAAAAACTTAATTTTGAATTTTCCTACAAACAGAGGGTTTTGCCAGAGCCAGTCACAAATTCTTATACAGTAAACAATTTTGCTGAACAGGGTTCTAAAGGTTCAGTGCGCACACAATGACTAGTGTAAAATAACAGCTAGATTTAGGTTAATGTCCTCTCAGCTTCAAAGCCATTGCTCAGAAAATGAGATGAGTCACATCATCAATAATCAGATGTAAAAATGATCCAATACTTTCCAAATGTGATAAGGGAATCTTACCACAATTAATTCCAAATGTTTCATCTACAAGACCTTCGTAAGTTGTCTGTGTGCAAAGGGGTGTCACCAAATCTATTTCCCTGTCAATCAAAAACAGATGTCCAATCTGGTGATCAGGAGTGCCAAGAACTCCGCCTTGTAAATTTTCTATGGTTTTAGTCATTTCCAACACCATCTAAAATGCAATAAAGTACCATGCCTCTATATTAATATTATATTTGCTGTTATAATAACTATAATTGGTGGACTAATTTGTTCGGGGCTTGATAGCACACAATCCCGCAGTGATGACATCCGTGGGCGAGGTGATACTAAGCCACAAATTTGCACGCAAGCAATTAGGCTGAAAAATGCCTTGATATTACCATGAGCACAAGTTCTAGAACCTCTCAGAAGAGCATAAAATTAGACAACATTTTTTCATGCTAAAATATAATGGGGCTTTATCCACGTTATTCAAACTATGAGTGATACCAAGCCACAAATTTGCACACAAGTAATTAGGCTGAATAATGCCATGATATTACCATGAGCACAAGTTCTAGAACCTCTCAGAAGAGCATAAAATTTGACAACATTTTTTCATGCTACATGTAATGGGGCTTTAACCATGTTATTCAAACTATGGGTCACAACCCAAACTTGGGTCTCGAAAGAAATAGTTTGAATCGCCGAAACTTCTGAATTTAAAACAAAAATATAAATTATCGATGGAACAACAGCTTTAAATGAAGTTATCGAGCAATGTATACACTTTGATCAGACATGTGATAGATTTCTTTTAAAAGTGTGCCTAGACCAATCACGAATCAGCTGTGGTCGAGTCCTGCCAATAGTTTGTTTAGTACTTGTAGCTGGGAACCCAACCACTAATTTAACAAGAAAATAGTATTCAACTTCTAATATTCAACAGTAGTTATCAACATTGCATTTAAGTACAGGGATCCTCTCTAGGAAACCTTGATCTATTTAATTTTTTTCAAATATTTCAAAAATTATAATTTTGTTCAATCCTTTTGTCAATAAATGATATTTGGAGTGATAATATAGCAACCATGATAGCAAGCGTCATCCAATTATCAAGTATTTTCTTTTGTTAAACCAATTACCTTTGCCTACTGGTGACGTGTTTCAGTTGCATTTTAACAAATATTGATCATGAAATAAAGTAAAGGTGAATTAATCTTTAGACATTACATTTTTTATTACTTCATAAAATATTTTTTTATAAATGTAAATCGATCTTTATAAGATTTCCTACAGGTATCTTTTACTTAAATATTTATTCTGGTAAATTAGGTATAAACAGAGAAGTTGAGTCGGCAAGTTTACAGGGTTAAAAAAATTAGTGTCCCCAGATAAATATGCTCGAATAACATGGCCCTACACGATCAGTAGAGGTTTATCAAAGGGTTCTGATTAACGCCCTGTTTATAGCCACTACCTCCACTTCCACCCACCCCATCGATGTAAGGCTCCTTGTTAGACAGATTTTCTCCAATTTGCTACTTATTTGATAAACCTACTTTAGCACACCATAACAAAGATCAATGCACCTTTAATTTATTTCATGATAAAAATTCTCCAAAATGGCAACCGTAACACGTAACCAGTAAGCTAAAAAAATGATTAGTTACAAGAAGGAAGTACAGGAATTTTTTCTAGGAAACCTTTTAAACATCGATTTCATTTTTGTTAAATATTTTAAAATTACAATTTTGTTTGACCCTTTGTCAATAAATGACATTTGGAATGATAATAGCAACCTTGATAGCAAGCTTCATCCAATTCACATTTCACAAGCCAATAGTTGTATCCAATATTTTCTTTTGTTAAACCAATAATTACTTTAGGTTACTAGTTACGCGTTTCAGTTGCCACTTTGAAAAATTCTGATTACGAAATAAAGTAAAGGTGAATTGATCTTTCAACATTATTTTTTTCATTACTTTATAAAATATTTTTAAAGAAATGTAAATTGATCTTTACAAGGTTTATTAGACAATTATCTTGTACTTAAATGCAATGTTGAATTTTTATTCTGGTAAATTAGGTATGAACAGAGACGTTTGGTTGTGAAGTTTACAGGGTTAAAATTTGGGTCACCAGGTAAAAATGTTTTAATATGAGGGCCCTAGACCACCAATTGAAATTTATCACAATTCCCTGTGATCCACTTCAATGATGTTTACAAAGTTTCCTAGAAAGGATTCATGTACTTAAATACAATGTTGTCAACTACTTTTGAAAATTAGAATACGCTGAATATTATTTTTCTGGTAAATTAGGTATGTACAGGTAGCCAAGTTTACAGGTTTAAAATTTGGTTGCCCAGATAAACATGTTTGAAAAATATAACAGGACCAGAGATTTATCCCAGGGTACTGACTAAGGCCCTGTAATCCAATTCCCCTGCCCCCTCCTTACCGAATGTGTAAGGCTTTATGTCAGACATTCTCCATTTTGTTACATATTTGATAAACTTACTTTAGCACACCGCCCTTGGCCATAAATATTAGGGATCTTGCAGAATAAAACTTGAAGGTTTATCAACGAGTTCACAATTGCACCAATCCAGCTTTGATCACCATGCTGTAAATATGATGTAGAGCAAATGCAAATGTTAAATAAGACAAAGAAAGTTTACCAGTATTGAAAATTATATGTGTAGAAAAAAAATAGACTAGATTTTGGTGGCAAACATATTTGCCTTTAACCAAATTGAGAAGCCAGTGTCCCAGGTTTCTGTGCATCTAGAGGTGACAAAATAGTATACAAATATTGACTGCTCATGAGAGAAATGTTGAAATCTATACTGCCCCGAGATGATGTGGAGACAGTAGCCTATCTTCCCAAGGTCTGAAAGCCCGAGGAAAGAAGGGCTACTATCTCCACATCAACAAGGGGCTACAGATTTCACCATTCCCCGAATCTAGAGCAGTCAATATTTGTTTTATATACCTCAACTTATACATAGATTCTACGAGACCTAAAAAAGTAATGAAAAGAATACATACCAAGTAGGCCTAGGCTTACTTCCTAGGGCTAAGCGATCAAAGAGCTAATCTCTGTCAGCTTCGTAAAGATTGCGTCCCTGTTACCGTATTGCGTGGGTGCATATCGTAAATTGCATAGCAACATGATATGTGGGGCCTAGAGATTACATTGCGACAGGGCAAAAAAGTACTATCATTTTAACGTGATAATACTGTTTTAACCGGGGAACTTAAGAACTATCATTCAACCTATGTCATAGGACTGTGATGGTTGAAGTTATTACCTGCTTTTTAACCAATCATATGCCTAGAATCTATGTAGGCAGTATATATGATATATGTATAATATATATATATATATGATATGATATGATATCTGGCCCAACTGTCGGGAAACGATGGAAAATCCAGTGTGCACCTTAACTAACAAATGGTTGTTCTAAAACACTAGAAATGAGAGAAGTCATTAAGGCTACGTACCAGATAAAAGGATTTGAAAAACTCTGGTAGTTCTAATGATACAATATCAGTGTCCAACGGAATGAGCCCAAGTTTCAATTCCTCAAATATAACATCTGAAAAGATATAGAAAAAATAACAATCAATATAAAAAGATATTACTATGTTCCAGTAAAGCTTTGAGGAGATTTATGAGAGATATGTAATTTAGTAAGATAAATAATTGTTCATTTCTTTATTGTACATTTATTTTATTGTTTTTTTTTTCCATCAGACATCATCATGATAGTTTACATGCTCTGATAATAATAATTATAAACCATATATTTATTGCTTGTTATGAGAATGTATTTTGTTGTTATACTATATTTTCTAATTTCAATTAGACAAATTTGTATAAAGTGTAAAATATAATCTTTTTTAGTAAGATATTATTTTTTTCTTAACATTAGCTTGATAAGTACTAATCTTCAATTGACATATCACCGTGTCATTATTTTTGTTATTTTATGAAACATATTTTATTGCATTAATGTTTATGTATATTGATGTTGTTTTGTCATCTCATTGTATTTAGATTGATTTTTTTCAATATGACTTTTCTTATTTGGAGACAGTGCTCACAACTTGGTGTAAGCCTGCCAATAATCTACACCACAGGTTGGCAAAGTGCAGCCAGCATGCCTTGTGCAGCCCCAGCCACTGCAATTTTGAAGTAAAAGAAGGTTAAAATCTTACCTCCATATACACCTTCTTGTTCCATGATTAACTCACATATGTGCATCTGAAAGATTTTTTTTAGCCACTTATATTATAATTTTGTATTTTAGTTTGTGATGCACATAGGTCATAACGGTTAGTCCACCATCATTAAAATATTAAAAACTGGTTTTGTAAAAAGGAAAAATTAAACAAATGAAAAAATACACTATTATTTTTTTTGTAACTTAGCTGTCATTTCTTGAAAATAACTTTATTTATTTTCTGTAATAATAAGAATAAAAAAATAATAATAATAATTACTTATTACTATAATATATTATTATTATTATATATTATTATTATTATAATAATAATAATTATTATTATAATTATAATATTAATAAAATTACACTATTATTTTTTTTGTAACTTAGCTGTAAATTCTTGATAATAACTATTTATTTTCTGTAATAAGAATAACAAAATAATAATAATAATTACTTATTACCATATATTATTATTATATATTATTATTATAATAATATTAATAATAATAATAATGTTTAATAACATTTAGTTTCTATACACAAAATTTACATTATACCTTTTTTGGGATGAGTACCACACAGTAGGATATTTTCTTATCACTTTGTTTATCAGATAAAATCTGACCTGTGAAGAAAATAAAAATCAAAATACTGTATATTATTAGGGTTACTTTCTGTAGCTGTAATAATATGAAATATAAGTGATAAGGTAATAAATATAAATGAAATGTTGTATGTTAACACTCTGACCGCCAGAGGTTTGAAAAAATAGTATCAGCCACCGCCAGAATTTTTAGCAAATTTTAACACTTTTCCAAAGCTTGTTGAGAGTGCGTATGTGATCGGATTGACATGTAATGAATACTACAGGAACTACAAACATCATAGCTTTACAATGATACCAAACACTTTATTCTAATCACAACCTGTGACCCGCAACAGTGAAATGAAAATGACTCACTTTTGGAGATTTACGCAATTTCGCACAACGAAGCTGAGATAATCGCGATTTCGTGAAAGTAAATCAATACCGCTCTACACTAATGTAAACAAACAAATAGTGAAATACTTATGGTCCAGACTGAATATAGTGTTCAAATTGTTAGTACATGTCAGTAATCTATCGGATTCTGTAAAAAACCTGAATCACGGAGATCTCCGTGTTTGGCGGTAAAGCATTGCGTTACCAAACACGGAGATCTGTGTGTTTGGCGGGCAGAGTGTTAAGGAGTGTTCTGATTAAATAAGGTCACATTCTATATTCATAAAAAAATACACAGAAAAAGAATTATTAAATAATACATTGTAAGAAAGTGAACATGAAAGACTAAAGGCCTCAGTCGGCACAAAAACAAAGACAGTAGCGCAGTCGGGTAAACTGGTAGTGTATACTGTATGTGCTGAACCGTAATGTTTTTTACATGTCATAGGTATCCTTGGTGTATTTCATGCCAAAGACATTCAATCTAATTATCCACAGAATATATATTCCAAGTTTGAATAGATATTGCTTAGTCATAGAATGTATTATTCATAAATTTAATAATACACAAACTCAATCTATACATGGAGCTGAAAGGTCTTAGAAAAAACTCATTTTCTAATTTATTCCATAAAAGATAATAAGTCCAACAAACATTGTAAAAGCACTACTATGAGGTGGCAATCGAAGTATCACACTCACGCATGTCATTGTAATAAACGTGCAATCCGATTATTTTTTTCTTATATTTCCTTACATTAACACCTATCCTTTTGTTTAAAAACGGTTTTTTTTGTGGTTAATGGGGTGGATGCAGGGGGGATGAAGATGGTGCAATCGCACCCCCTAAATTGTACCAAGAAAAATAATTTTTATATTGTATTGTTGATATATTACTGTTTTGTTACTGATTTTTTAAAATATGAGAGTGCAATTTCCGGGCACCTTGAGGTCTATATTCTCAAATTTTTCTTGTCTCAGCCCCAACCATGGCGAGGCTGAAGTGGTGCAGACTCTCACGCACCCCTACCGCCAAATCCTGCATCCACCAGGGTCACAGGTTACAGAATATTCGCTGCCTCTGGGGAAATTATTCCTGGGTATGCCTATATTTAGAAGTTTTATTCTAAATCACATTCACCACCTACAAAGTGCCTATTTACTCAAGGTAAAAGATCCAAACAAAGCCAGACTCAGGGGAAAAAATGTATTGATATGTTGTACAACTGATTTTTTAAGACATAAAAAGGGTGTTTGACTATGAAAAAAAGGTTAATGAGATACAGATTTTGAATATTTAAAATCTGGGGGAAAAGGTGAGAAAAGGAGTAGTTATGCCCCATTTCTCCCAGTTTAAAAGGCACAAACAATGAGGCAGTGTCTAACTAAAAATCCCATGATCAAAATCTGGAAGCTTTACCTATCACACAATTCCTAAACTTTCATTGCATGTTGCATACTACAGTACAGTAGTTGACACGGTGCCAGCAGGCTGTATATTTTTTGGCATGCTGTAGAATACCGCAGGCAGCATGGGCTTACTCTGCCCGCAGACAATGCAGCCACATAGAGTACCTGTTTTACAATTTTTCTAATTTAAATTGAATTACATTAATATATTAAAAAATCAGAAAATAATTTATGTATACTGTAGATATAACAATTAGGTTCATCTCTACAGTATGTTCATTTTATGTATACTAGGTCAGGTAAGGTTAATTCTCTCTGCTACTAGTAACTATGTAAACCAGTAATACTGTACAGTCAACTCTCCCAATACCGACCACCCTTCGGACTGTCCACTTTGACCGGTTTTCCGGATGGACCGGTTTAGAGAACGTCATGTTTACCTACCTTGGTTCCCCGACCTTGAGTCGATATAAAAGCCTAGGCCTAGCAAGGTACAGCAGATAGGTACACCACACTGCATCATGTACTGTGTAGGCCTACTAACCTGAGAACGTCATTTAAAATTCAGGCTTTACTTTATTTTTACATTATTTATGTTATACGTACCTATTTTTTTGTGTCGAAGTCTATTATCAATAAAAATTTACACAAATCAACTTAATGTGTATCGTAATTTATAATAAGTGTCAGTGTTATTTTTCGTTTGATCGCCCTAATCTGCTTCGCTTCAACATGGTTGCACGCTTGATTGGTTTTCGATGCCGCTGGCATAACCTTGGTGGGCCACTGAATGCTAAAAATAAGTGCTAACTTATGCTGCGCCCCCTAAACTGCATCAGCCAATAATAGAAAACAGTCAGAGGTGACAGTCAAAGTGTCATGCGCAATTGTTTTTATGAAATCGATAGCCTTATGTTGGGACCGCTTGGTTTGCCTTAGCGTGAGAATGAATGCAAAATGTGAGAAAAGGATACGTTCCTTAATAAAGAAAACACACTCATGAACTTTGTTTTATCAGTTTATTAAACAAATGAAATCTAGGCTTATTGCAATTAATTAATTAATGCGCTATCGGCGTATCACACGATCAACACTAACGATCGTACGCATGGTGTCGTTCTGTGATTGATAGTTGATATTTGGAGTCAGTCGATGTGTCTCCGATGATTTATTTAACATATTTCATCAATAAATCATCGTTTTAAACTGGCCGTCCGGTTTTCAGAAGGTAATTTTATTGTTCCGGACTTAAGAATTTGGCTGGAATTCGGAATTGGGAGATCCGGTTTTCAGAAAGTATTTTAATACAGTAAGAATAGGAATGATTTTGGGACGACCGGTTTTGCGTGAAATCCGGTTTTCTGGGTGGTCAGTATTGGGAGAGTTGACGGTACCTTTTCATGGTCGGCGACTAAACTGGCTCACCCACCCGGGGCAACTCTGGTGAGAAGGATGTGTGGACCTCCGGCAGGATTAAAAATAAGAGCTGTTAAAGTTCCTGGATGAGTTCATGGAGGAACCAACGGGCATCCAATCTTTCCCCTAGGGTGATGGGTTAGTGGTATGCCAGGGCAGGCTCACTGTAAAAACAAACGCTCCAATAGCGAAATGATGACACAACAAAACAAGGGTAGCAACCAGCCAGCAGGCTGCTGTGGGCCGCACATGCCTACGTGTCATCACGGCGTGGAAGTCAGTAACCCTAGTAGAGGGGAAATGGTGACTTAAAAATGATGATGATGATGATGATGATGATGTATTGACCTACTGTATGTATTGACATATACATGACGTATCGATTTAATATATATAGGCCTATATAACTAAAAGCGATCAAATTAATTTGTCTGGTAGGCTTATATAATTTTATTCTAATACAAATTTAGCTTATTAGGCATATCTGTAATTGTAACCTATTGGTTACCATTATGAACCAAGAAATGTTTGTGTACAGTTAAAAGTCCTTGCATATCATGTGCTTAGTCCAGAGAGCAGCTTTAAATCAAATTTTTCTTTTCTAAATTCTTGACTACAGGCACAGTGAGCAGGCTTTGCCCGGCAGCTGGTGGATGGGAAATGCGAAGCACGTGGGCAAATTGAGGCAAAAAGTGTACTGCCTGCAATTAGTACTATATGGTTAATGCAGATCCCAAGGGCCAAGTAAAATTTTCCAAAACTTAAGTTTGAAATAGACTTTAAAAAAGGAAAAATATATTATTTCTATTTATATAATATATATTTTGAGCATCATTATTTTACTATGTCATCAGGCCTACGCTGTTAATATGTATAATTGTCCTACCTGCTATTTGCTTCATGTTCTCTGCTGTTGGCCGACATAGGTACATCCTCCTATAAAATAAATTGCTTACTTCTTTAAAATTACATCAGAATTCAAATAACTGTTGGTTAGGCTATCAACTGGTCTATGACATTTAGATGGTTCTTAAGATGGTAAGATGGAGTGGAGTTGAATAGCTTGGTGGTTAAGATGCTTGACTTCCAATACCAGGGTCCTGGGTTCAATTCCTGTCGGTGCTGCAGGATTTTTTTCTCATGACCAAAACCACTACACTCCCTAAACCTCATATTGAGATTTAGTTTGTGTGAAGCATCATGTGTGTATGTTTGTCTTGCGTAAGAGATTGTCACCTACAAGTAGGACAGTGATGTATTCACCATTGACAATCCTTGACGCATGTGTTGTGTGCTTACAATGAATAATAAACAATAACATCCTGTTGCTTTTTCTTTTTCAAGTAAAGAGTTTCTAAAAAAAATAATGACTGATGTCTTTTACAGAAAATATTTAAACAATTTTGTGCTCAAAATAGGGGTGGGATTATATAAATGTTTCATCTATTTTTGGTGTTATACTCATCTCAATTTTTGACCTAAGAAAATAAATTTCATGTAAGTTATTTATATGATGTATAATTCTAACCTTCAACCTTGTCTTTTGAGGAACTGCATGTGCACTATCAAATTAATAGAGAGCTTTCGATTGCACGACGACGATAGGACGTAGAACGTAATGACATCACTAAAGTCATCTGCGCATGCGAGAAAGTTAAGGTCACCTCGCCGAGTAGATTCTGAAATGCAATTTGGCCAAATCTACGAATGCAGAGAACATAGGATGCCAGGTAGGACGGTCACGCATGAGTGATTCTGTTCTAGCGTCGCGTCGTCGCACAAATCGAAGGCTCCCTAATGATGTGATAAGACAGTCAAGTTGGAAGGGAGTCTGTACTTACTGTTCACATTCAGCTCTTATTGGTGCCAGTTCCAATTTGAAGATCTTGCTGGCGCCATGATTCTGGTGCGAAAAGATTTATTAATATTATTATTTCATTTCTTAATGTACTTTTATACATTTGACAATGCAATTTTGTGTATGAATCTGTTAAAACACTAAGCCTAGGTTAGGTCAAAATACAAGATAACTGAAATTGATTAAGTTCACTGATTGGCATATCCTTGGCGCTCATGCCTAAAGAAATGAAATGAAATGGCTATGTTTAAGCCTTTAGGCAACATTTAGCTTAGGAAATCAACTTTAATATAAATTGGCATAACCAAGCATCTACTTTATCAAAATATGTTGTGTTACATTAGTTTATTAACATGATGATTTTTTTTTTTTTTTTAACAAAGTGCATCATGTTATAAAATGAAAAAAATACTAATTGACAGAAAAAGTGCAAAAAAATAGTACAGTACCCTTAAAAGCTGTGCACCAGCAATTCGATCCAAAATCTTCATAAGCTTTGGTTCGATTACCAGATCCTTACTTCCAGGCATCTAAGCAAAGAAAGCAAATGAGGAATTTCACATACAAGGAATTAAAACACAAAAACTGGGCTCTACCTCCTCTATCCATAGCTGCTATGTCTGGTGAGGACGCTAGAGTTTAAATTGTACCATAAGCTAAACATCTATTCTAGGCATCCTACAGCAGGCCTAGATCACTTTATGTAGACACATGTATTTCTCACACTTTTTGACACTTTGGAAATCCAGCTGCAAAGGCTGGAGGGGGTGCCAATCCCACTTGAAAGTTGCAAAAAAAATCACCTCCTAATAAGTTACTTTGCCAACTAGTTCCCCGCTGCCTATAATCCTCTAAGGCCAGTGCAGGGAATATATCGTCCGCTCAAAAATTGGTCCTAGAAATCTGTCCATGCATTTCAGAAATAAGGACCAATTTCTGCAGATTTTGCTGAAAATTAGGCCTTGACCTAATCTTAATATATAACGAATGCAGTAATGATTATGCGCATCTATTTTCCTAGTAATTTTCCAAGCAAACTTTAAGCTAGATTTTGAGGTATCATCCCTGCAACTGTAAACCTTACAGTATGGCAACATTCACATGTCAATACTCTTATGCCCTTACACTAGTGCCTGCTCATGCTATCCTACTCTACACTAAAGATGGGCCTATCTACCCAGCCTAGGCCCATCTATAATGTAGGGGGTGTTGTTTTTTTGTAAGCCAGGTATTTTTTACGCTATGGCTAGAGATACGGTACCGTATTTATACTTCAAATTGCTAAATGTACGGTAAATGGCATTACGTCACCATCACCCAATGAAGTGCGAAATGTGTGTGATGTGATCTTTCAAGACATGCATTGGCACTGCACAGTGCTACTCGCAAACAATGTACAGTACTGGATTAGCACATGATTTCTGGATTGGGGAATAACAACAACGAAGTTGCATGTGTATTCAAAGTGTTTGAATATTTTGGTCGGATTGTAAAGCATGTTAATTTTGAGTATATCAGTATTATAACCTAGGCTTCTTGGACTAAAACTTGGGATGAGATATTGGGGGGGGGGCAAACTTCAGACTTGGTATGATTATGTAGGAATTAGTTTATGACTGATATTTGCCAACCACATCAACTTATTTGTTTTGTTTGTTTGTTTAATTTATTTCTCCACACACTTATCACTACAGCAGGGCCTCCGGAAAGCGAAGAATCTAAGCAAGGCCTAGCCTTGCAAAGATTCTGTGGCCAAGCAGAGAATTTAAGCAAGGCCTAAAGGCCTATGCCAAGAGTTTGGTACAGGATTCAGTCCTTGTTTGATATGGCTATAATTATAAAGACTCTTACGAGTGCAACCATACGCCTATTTATCGATACTAGTACTAAGTACAGTATTGTAATTTTTGATGTTCTAATTACAATAGTACAGAACATCGTTCTCGTTTCACCACTCACCGTCATGAGTGATCTGCAATGTCAGTCTTGAAAGATGACATAATGCCATTTACCGTAGCTTTAGAAAATGGAATTGGAAATATGGCACTGTATCTCTAGCCACAGCATATATTTTAACTCTCTGTTGCTGGTCAGGCAGTCGGACTAACAAAAAAAAAAATAGGCCTAGGCTCAGTGACTCAGATGGTGCTCCAAGCAAAAATTATCCTTTTAGCTTAGCTTAGCACCCCCCTCCCTCCCCAGAAAATGTGTCTCGGGCCTACAGTAGGCCTAGTATAATAGGTATTGTAGGCCTACAGCCGCCACTGTTGAAACTTAAGATCTCATGGACAAAATGCAGCAGAGTTAAGAAAAATGCTGGATGCTAATGCACTTGTTTAGAATTCGATCCAACTCGGCCACAAGTAAACTCGGCCACAAGTCAACTCGGCCACAAGTAAAACTCGGCCACAAGTCAACTCGGCCACAAAAAGTTCGGCTACAGTCAACTTGGCCACAAGTCAACTCGGCCACAAATCAACTCGGCCACAAATCAACTCGGCCACAAGTCAACTCGGCCACAAGTCAACTGCAGCCTATTTACTGGTACTACACTTTGAAGGAGTAATTCATGAAGTACCGTATAAAATACTAATTCTTTAAGTATTGTTATTGTTGTCATTATTATTATTGTTGTTTTTATTACCGTTAGTTTTAATATTTATTATTAGTCTTAGCATAACATTGTGTAGGCTATTGTTTAAATTTTTGCTGATATTATTATTATTGTTACCATATACCGGTAAATAATAAATAATTATCAATTTTTTTATTCATATTATTATTATTATTATTATTATTATATGTTAGTCTTAGTATTATTATTTTAATAATAGTAATTTAAAAATTATTGTTATTGGTGTTTTATTGATATTTTTATCATATTATTATTATTATTATTATTATTGCTGTTGTTGTTGTCAGCTTTATCATCGATATTATAACCCTATTATTACTAGGTAGGCCTAGTATTATAAGTATCATCATTATTATTACTAATTAGTATTATTATTATTATTATTATAAAAAAACATTATCTTTAATTTATTATTGTTGTTATTGTTGCTATTATCACCTTCAATATCGTTATTATCACTAATAAGTATTATTAAAATAGATATTTAAATATCGTTATTATTACCAATTAGTATTATTACTATTAGCATTGTTAAAATAAATATTACTATTAATATTGTTGTTATCACCTTTATTATCATTATTATGACTAATTAGTATTATTAAAGTAAATATTATTAATTTATTGTCGTTATTGTTGTTTAACATTATTGTTGAACTAGAATGTTGTAAGTAAACAGAAGACGAACACACGACGTCAGTAAGATTTTCTTGTAATAATCATTATAATTAGGCCTACTTCATATTATTATTATTATTATTATTATTATTATTATTATTATTATTATTATTATATGTTAGTCTTAGTATTATTATTTTAATAACAGTAATTTAAAAATTATTGTTATTGGTGTTTTATTGATATTTTTATCATATTATTATTCTTATTATTATTATTGTTGTTGTTGTCAGCTATATTATCGATATTATTACCCTATTATTACTAAGTAGGCCTAGTATTATAAGTATCATCATTATTATTAATAATTAGTATTATTATTATTATTATAAAAAAACATTATCTTTAATTTATTATTGTTGTTATTGTTGCTATTATCACCTTAAATATCGTTATTATCACTAATAAGTATTATTAAAATAGATATTTAAATATCGTTATTATTACCAATTAGTATTATTACTATTAGTATAGTTAAAATAAATATTACTATTAATATTGTTGTTATCACCTTTATTATCATTATTATGACTAATTAGTATTATTAAAGTAAATATTATTAATTTATTGTCATTATTGTTGTTTAACATTATTATTGAAGTAGAATGTTGTGAGTAAACAGAAGACGAACACACGATGTCAGTAAGATTTTCTTGTAATAATTATTAATCCGTAAGTTATTAGTTATCTAAAAGGAGATATTATGGGCAATGCCTAAAGCTCCACTAACCATGTTGGTACGTGGATGACAATAAGTATAATGAAAAAAATTAATATGTACATGTATTATGAAATAAAATGTATAATTGAAATTAAATATGAGAAGATGTAAAGGGGTGGGTGGCAACAGTCGGGAGAAATCATTCTGTCGAAAAATGTCCGGGGGAAACCAGCCTGCTACCGATGATGACATAGGCCTAGTTAATGTCGAATTGTAGCCTATTTTAATACTTGGAGTATGTATACTGTTCTGAGATTAATCAGCGGACCTTTCGGTTTTTATAAATATTCAGTGGCAATTTTTATTTCTATAGGCCTAATGCTGTATTTTTTTACGAATATTCTTATTACTACAGTTTTTGTCGTGAATTTTCCCTTAAATTTCATCGACCCTTTTCATCTATTTTGTTTTTCAAAAGTTATTGTTTCGGTGTTAGTACTGTCACTTTGGATACAGTATGTAAATTATTTTGCAAATATCATTACCGATTTATCATTTTTGAAATTAAAAACAAAAAATCAATTACCTCATAGCTATTCACTGGATTATTCCCAGGTCCGTATCCATGGGAGTTCGAGGGGTTCAAACGAACACCCTTTCTTAGGAATTGCCCTTTTAAAAGTGTATGTAAATTTCTAGAGTGACATTTCTAGGCATCCAAGGATCGAGGTCATGATAATTAGTAATGTACTTTGTAATAAAAATTCTGTCATTGGTGTCCTAAAGGCAGCTGGTCTAATAATTGATACTAGATGCTAATGCGCCCCACCTAATTTTAACGTAGGCCTAATTCTTGAGCGTGGTTCTAAAGAGAATAGTATCGAAATGCACACCATCGTGCATTTATTTGATTTTAGTCGGATTCAAAATAAATTTTTAACATTTAAAAAATCATAATGTGGTTTTTCTATTTCAATTTTTTTATGATTAGGTCTACAGTATGTACTCGTGTTTTATGTCAGTGTTTTAACATGAAAAAAATTAAACATTAATATATGTGTTTTTCTTAATTATTAAGATTGCTTAAATTGTTAATGTTACATTACTGTCGGATTTAGTGGCGAGTTTTCTCTGTTGAATAAGAGTAGTGTGAAGAAATGAATACAAAGATCTCACAACGATGATCAGAATTTTACTAAAATATACTTCATTTCAATCATATTGAAGAAAAAGGATGCAAAAACTGAGTAATATTTACATTTCATTTTAATCATTTTATTCTATATATAACATGTTATTTATTATAAATAACTTGTGGCCGAGTTGACTTGTGGCCAAGTTGACTTGTGGCCAAGTTGACTTGTGGCCGAGTTGACTGTAGCCAAACTTTTTGTGGCCGAGTTGATTTATGGCCGAGTTGATTTATGACCGAGTTGACTTGTGGCAGAGTTAACTTCGAGTTGACTTGTGGCCGAGTTGACTGTGGCCGAGTTGACCTGCTTCCCTTGTTTAGTACTCCACCCTCCTCCTAACCCTATCTAGCTAGGAGGCCTAACCTTAACAACAATAGCAAGACTGGAGTTAAGGTTAGGGTGCATTAGCGCCAACTCTTACTTAAGAAAAGTCTGAGTAACAAAATGTCTGTCACCCTGGCCGAAGCCTAGGTTATAACCTAAGGCCTAGCCTAGACCCATACCCTATAGGCTACCGGACCATGACGAGTCTCAGGGACCCAGCCTAGCCTAAGCCTAGCCGCCAGCAAGGAGGTACTCCTTGCCGTCAGAGGCTGTCAGGCGGGAGCTAGGCCTAGGCCTAGATAAAGTATAGATATATAATAAGCAAGCATCAGCATTGCACTTTTATCGTCAATATTATAGTAATACTCACTGACTCAAGGGTACGAATTAGTTCATCTTTTGCCAGAACCTTTAATTCATTAAAATCAGGAAAACCCTCGCCTAGCGAAGCCATGTTGGGGAGAGACTTATTTTGGTTTTTGAAGGCTTCAACAGGTATGAGACGCCGTTAGTGCCTTCAGCATAAAACTATCTATTAACATTATTTTCAATTTCACTCGGACGGGTGTAGAACAGTGACGTAACCTGTGCTATCAAAAGAGTGGATTCTGGTTCATCAAATCGTTGTCCGAAAGCTCTGGTTCTATTTCTGGCTGTTTACTTACGTTTATTTTTTAGCTGTTGATTATCAAATTTGTATCTCACCGAGATCCAGCAATGTTTCCCACAGCATTGTTATTTTTCAGTATTTTGCCTTTTAATATTATATATACATATATATATATATATATATTGAAGAGTGGGTTTGCATGTATGCTCCAAGTAAAATAAAATGCAAAAGCAATGAAAAAACGGTGTACAATCATTGAAAGTTGACTTGCGGACCACAAATTTATTAAGCTATAACAAAATCAAACGGATATTTCGATAGCTCCTGGAAAGGAAAACAAAATAATGAAGAAGTGTTGCAATTGATAGGAGAAGAACGTCAGATCATTAAAACTAAAAACGAGAGACAGAAATCATGGATTGGCCATGTACTGAGAGACAACAATCACCACTACTAAAAACAGTTCTTGAAGAACGTTTTATGGGAGAACAAAAAGGGGGAGAAAACGTATTAGTTTTTCTGGACTACTTGAAAGATGGAAGTTCCATACAAAACGTTAAGAGAACGGGCATAAAACTGAACTGTTTGGGATAAAAAGTGGGTGCCTGAGGACCTGCCAACTACTGACATCTTAAGCACTTTAAACGGAGAGATACTTCAATTATCGTGATATATTGTGTGGTATCATTTGTTTTTTGAGTGCTTTCCTGAAGAGCCACATGACAGTGGGGCACGTATGAGTATTTTTGTTCATCCTGGGTTGGCAGCACGCTCTTTGTTTTTATTGTTCGTGTAATTTTGATTTAGGCCTATTTATTTTTGTATGAATTTTAAATCGAAATATATCTTAATTTTAATTTGAATAACGGCCATCGACACTTGATGCTCTTCTCTTACTCCAATTCCCGAGCCCTAAGCCAGACCACCTTGGCCGGACACTCACTAAGGCGTACGAAGTGACGGTCGAACGATCGTCGGCCGATGAATCCAACTCTGCTATGTATGAGCGCTAGACGACGCGATGCCGTCTGCTGATTGTCCGTGGCAGTCTGAACGGATCGTCATTAAAAATGATCCTTTGCTCGCACGTCATGGCCTTGCGTCCTTCATAGAATCGGAGACGAATTGGGGCCCATTCTTACTAGACTGCATTATATTCATAAGCAATTATTGTATGTGTCCCAGTGAGTGTGTGCGGGCGGCTACATTTGCATGTCTGTGTTGTAAACTACTGTCTTCAGTAAGAGAAAAAAAATATGTTAAGGCCTCAATGTATCCTTAGACATCCTGTACCACCAACGTTTTGCCACTCGTTTAAGTACTGTATCAACTCATCATACGCTTTATTTCCCTATAATCGGATGGGTGCAATTATATAATTATTTACTTTATATGGCGTTATCTCTAATTCTCTTCGTATGATTGCACATTTTTGCTACTATTAACAGGGACGGATTTAGGGTGGGGGGTGAGAGGCTGCCCCCCACGCCCCCATTTTCGAAAGTAAAAAAGGGGGGAAAAAAGAGAGAAATAAAAAGAAAAAAATGATCGCCAAAGCGCCTAAGAAGTTATTTTCGGGCGTCTAAAACACAACATGTTCGCGGGGTATGCCCCAGGACACCTTAGGATAGTGTTATCTCAACCGGTCCCACTTTCGGCCCTTTTCGGAACCCTTTCGTTCCCCCTTTCGGAAATCTGTAGATCCGCCCCTGATTGAAGGTGATTTAAAATATTTCTGTCGGTTAGATTTATTTCTAGTCTACGGGGGATAATGAACTTAAAAGAAACATAACTCTACGTAAATAATTCAGTGTATATGTATGTTAAATTTGCATCAGTATTCATAATAACAAAACCAGTTATCTCACCTGTCACTTTCGAGCATATAAGTAATAACTGTAAAACGTGAGCTTAATCCATTGGTGTTGTTATGATGTTTAGATTGTATTTTTACCTTGCTGTTGTGTTGCAAGTAAAGCATGATTGAATGAATGAATAAATGAATGAATATTAAATTAATCTTTAATCAATTTTTTTTTTCAAGGTGACTCAAAGATCAAGTTTTATGTCCAATGTGTACAGTACCTGTTTTATATTTGATATTATGGTTAGAAGAAATGTCTATCTAGAAACACATCGCATCGCTTCCTAAAATATTAGGTTACAAACCGTAATTAAGAAAATATTGATTATTAAACTATTGTGCTTATTTCTTCGATCCGTGATATGAGAACGACTAGACTGGTCAGAATGGTTATAATAATAATGATAATAATAATAATAATAATAATAATAATAATAATAATAATAATAATAATAATAATAATAATAATGATAATGATAATGATAATGATAATGATAATAATAATTTTTATAATGATATTGATAATGATGATGATAATGATATTACGAAATAATGTTTGCCCTACCTGACGTGTTATAAGTACTGAATGCTCATCAGATAATGATGTTGATGAAGAAGAGAAGGAGGAGGTGGTGGAGGAGGAAAGGATGATGGTGGTGGTGATGATGATGATGATGATGATGATAATGATGACGATGATGATGATTATGATGATGATGATGATGAAGATGATGATGCTATATTGATAATGATGGTAATGTACACGGCCTGGTGTTGAGACGATTATAATCATAAAAGATTGCATCTGCGTTCTTCTCTTATCTGCATTCCTATTAGGTTTTAAAAGCTATTACAAATGGCCATGGGGCATATATATATATTACTTCTACTCTTTTCATCGATAGAGCAATGTATTCGAAGTTGAAGGTAAACGCTATAATGTATACATTATGAAAAATGAAACAATATTGATTGCAACAGTTGAAACATTATCTGGAGTCATAATGCACGAAACAGAGATCACTAATAGCGAAAAATAGAAAAAAAAATAGAATGTACCGTACAACGTAATAGTTTAACGACCGGTGGCAAGGCAACCGCTTTAATATATATGAAAATACATTCATTGGAAAAGTTATGTTCATATTATCAAAGAAGAGGATGCGTTAATGAATTAGTTTCCGCTTGATAATAAGGTCATCCTTATATAGACCTAAATAAAAAAAAAATATACTGTTCGTTGCAACACTTTTGAAAATCCCTAAAAAGAAAATTAAATAATGTATGCAATGCATCAATCAAATATATTATCTACTTTTGATATGAAACGTAAAGTATTGAAGGGGGAGACAAGGGGTCCCCCTTTGGGTAAAAAAAAAAATTCTCGGTGTACCGGTACACACACCGGCCTATTTACTGTAATAAGAATGAGAAAAAATCACCTGACCGTTTACAACAGGGGAAAACCTTGAATTTTTATTAAAAGACACTTCAGAAGTCGGGAAAACTCATTTCTCGCCATCTAAGAACCAAATATTTCCCGGGGAGGACCCCCGTTTTATTTGGGGTTCATCGATTTATTTAAAAAAAGAATATGTAGGCCTATGCAGTGACTCAATTTTTGTTATCCGTACTGTACATACATTCATAGTAGGGCTACTAGTATTTACAGTAATAAGAATGAGAAGTTTACCTGACCGTTTTCAAGCGGAGGAAAACCTTAAAATTTTAAAGAACTTAAAAGAACTCAAAAGACACCTCAGACGTCGGGTCAGCTTATTTTCTAGTGATCAAATCTTTTTTCTAAGGAGGACCCTCGGACCCCCTTCCTCTTTGGGGTTATCCATTCAATACGGTACGTAAGCAACTCAATTTTTTGTAATGTACGTATACACACGTACGGGGGAGGAACCCCGGATCCCCCTTCCACTTTGGGATTATCCAATCATGGAAAAAAAATACGTAAGCAACTCAGTTTTTTTAAATGTACGTATACACACATAAATAGGCCTATTTACTATAATAACCTGTTTCTACTCTTTGCGAAGCGAAAAAATGCGCAACCAATCAGAAGTAAAGTTGCGAACCGGCGTCGATTCACGCAAATATTTTCACCTAGTGGCTAGAATTTATGCACATTTACTGAGGAGAAAACTATCTTACTGTTCTAATTTTAATCTAAAGCTAACTTCCTTAAATGAAGCAATTTAATATTATTAAATTATATTTTTAATTTAGTTAACGTAACACATAGGTTAGGCCAAAGATAATATTCATATCAAAACACTATTAAACACAAGAAATGTGAAGCTTCCAGTAAATGAAACTCTTATAAACAAATAATCAATAAATAAATGTTTATTCCTGCATTGCAATATTGCATTTACCGTATTGTTTTTCAAATGATAATATAATAATAATGAATAATGATACTACCATATTATGTTTTATTGCAGTTAGTAAGGTATAAATTTGTCTCAGCAAGGGTTAAAATATATATATATATATATATATATATATATATATATCTAAAACATTATTTACAGATTATACAGATTACATTTTGATTAAAAATGTATTAAGTTGCTCTAAATACGTGTCAAATGATATACATTTTTCTAGATAAAGGCTTGGTTTCAACAAAATTGCAACACTGTCGCACGACACTTTCACTGCACTAAGCCAGGCACTTATACTTTGTCGTACGTCGGATCCTACTCCGTTCCCCGTAAGCACTAGACCTCTGCTGAAGAGATCGTCATTAAAAACGCGGAAATGACGGCGTCGCGTCGTCTAGCGCTCTCACAGGGAGCGAAGTGGGTTTGTGGTAACACCGTCGTACGACGCAGTTAGTGTCTGGCTTTAGAATCGCGTCGGCCGACGACCGTGCACGGCTTTACATGGCGTATCATGTCGACGACGCAGTCGGGAAGGCTGCACAATTCGACCTACCTGTCAAACGTCTCCGAAACAGCGGCGATAGCGTTTGGCGATTTTTTGGAAGTCAACTTAACTAATAGTGTAAAAGCACTGTAGAGAGTAAAGCGATTTTATGAAAACTAGGCTTAAACAGAAACCATGCACACTGCTCCATAGACCTATTATAGTTCTTTTAATATTTGTACAAGTAAGTAGTGATTTTAAGTGAAATGTGATTGAAATACTTATGAAACAAACATTTTTGGATATTTTCAACTCACTATATAATAGCTTTTTTAAGTTCAATTCAATTACAATAACAGAAGAAGAGAGTATAACAAAAGAAGAGAGTATAAAAAATATGTAATTTTTACAGATTATGAGAGTAAAATTCCTAAATCGTGTATAATTATACATAATTATATTATGACGCACGATGCTTTATTATAGACCAATTCTCTGTATGATGCTTAGGGATGGAGTTCTTTTATATTTTTTATTTTATATATATTTTTTCTTGTCGTCAGAAAAATTCCTGCTGTCACAAGAATTCAACGCACTACCTTTGTTTATTGTTATGTGGCTCAGTGTCGAGCCTTCTTACGCAACCTTCGAGTCCCCTCTCCAGATACGCCACTGAAGTGAAGAAAAGTAATGTTTATTGTGTTACATACACTATCTACTAGTAATTTAATCTAAGTACCGGTACATAACATGGCATAAAGTTGCTGACCTCAATATTGCTGAACGGCGAAATATTTAAGAGTGAACATCAAATGCCACTGCCCTGAATAGCCTATACATAAGTTATCATAAGTTATCATTTGCATAAAGAACACACTCAAAACCAATGAGTTTAAGCAAACAGTGGCTTGTCAAATTACAACACCTGAATCATTGCTTCCATTTGATCGACCGAAGCTGTCAATTCGATGAAGTTCATTTTCCTCAACATCTTGCTGTTCGACAATTCTCTCATTATTCGCCCTCAATGTTGCATCGATTGAGAATATCTCTTGGCTATCTGAAGCTGTTTGGTGAACATTTTCGAAAATAATGTCTCTTTGATTGGTTATATCTGCATTGATTAGTCCGCTTCGCCGACTCCGTCGATAACTACTTTGAAGACTCTGGAGAGAGGATAGTCTAGGTCGTCGAAACGATCGCGAAAAGCCGAAAATTGAGCGACGTCGATCTAAAAACCCCCTTTGTCCTTCATCACTGTACAAAGTACCACCACCGTGAAGTTCTTTTACTATTTCTTTTAATTCTTTGAAATAAGTCTCATCCCCGAACTTGTTTACGACGCAAACTAAGTTTCCTTGTTCATCACGCAATATACCAGTTCTTCGATCATATGAACCTCGTATGCCATGTTCTGTCAAATCAGCTCCCAGGATTTCTTCATGTTTCGACATGCGCAGACCTATCGTGATGTCGAGAAATAGGAGTAGTATATAAGAGCACCCTGCACTCCAGCAACAAATAGAAACGCACCCAAGCGCCTGGATACCAAGAAGCTCAAATCCGCCACCATTAAATAGTCCTAAAAAGTAAATAATTGTAATTAAAACATCAAAAATGTTAAGTTTAGCCTAAATCTTGCGTAATAATACAGTTCTCTTCTTACAAGAGAATTGTATTTTTTTTCTTTTCTAATAATAAGATAGTATAGAAAAATGTGAGTTTACATAAGTAATAAATATAAAATTTATTTTGTAAACTAAATTAATATTTTTTATTTATTTTTTTTTTTTAATTTAAAACATCTTTAGGCAGGATAATATATACAGGCGAGATCTTACCGCTGTTTTACAATATGGTCCTGCAAACACATATTACAATATACAACAACAACAAAAGTAACCATCACAGTACAACAAAATAAACAACAGTTAAAACTTTGGTGGAAAACTATCCCCCGCCGGACACCAACCCGGTACTTCTGAGTCAAGGTTTCGGGGCCAGGAATTACAGCTCAATGTTAAGCTTAACTACAACTTAACTACAATATGGTAAAAACTATCCCCCGCCGGACACCAACCCGGTATTTCTGAGTCAAGGTTTCGGGGCCGAGATTACCAGGTAGGACAAATATTGTATATGACTAGGCATAATTCATATCACTAACAGACGTTTAAATAATGGCATTCATTATCTTTGAATATCCAATACCTCTAAATTTAATCATATAAAGTTAAGGATTTAGGGCCTATATTTCGATCTATTACAAATTGGGGGAGATAATTCAACCATGTTTTCTATGCTGTCATAAAATTGATGTATCGGCACCACCACCAATAAATCCGAAAACAGACAGGTCGCTGGGAATGCTATCCAACCTCTTGTATACACAACCACATAATGTTTCATTGTTTATATGTTAATTGCTATTAGTTATACAGTTATTCTGATATTATTATTATTGCTCAATTTAATTATTTTCTACTGTATATATACATATATCAAAGAAAAAAGAAAGAAATAAATGTTGCTGAAATAGAAATTTAAAAAATGTTAAACTCGAAAGTAAAGTATATTATTGAGAGCAAGACAGTGAAATTGTTCATTATAGGCTTATGTAAATAAAATCAAATGACTAATTGAGCATTTATGAATGTTTTAACATTTGTGTCTACTGGGCTAAGAATTTACTATATGGCCACGCCCACTCTTGACCGTCACCCACACAAAGAATTTCCAAGGAGTTATCGGTGCACGGAGCGAGGTAATTTCATTCTGCAACGAGAAAAGCGGTCCGGTTATGATTCCACACGAGGAAATGCAATAGGTTGAAATTATTACGCCGACCGAGTGACACCAATTGGGGTGTACCTACGCCCCTAGACACAAAAAGTTTTTCCGCTGATGTCGGAAAAATTATTTCTTCCTAAAGTAAATATTATAATAGTCGGAGTTTTTTTTAAAATATGTAGACGTAAATGATTCTTTTATTTTTCTTATTACATTTAGGCTATATTGATCAAGCAGTCAATTAAATCGGGTAAATATTAACAAGCACTTCAACGATTTTAGGAAAAATGCGTTTCATAAGCGTTAGGCATATAGTGATGAAACGAGCTAGAGGCGTCACCAATACAGCCTCAAATGACATCGATCGCAACAGCCATTCACATGTCATTTAATTTACTCGCTACGCCATCAGTAGTTATTTGAGATTCTGAATCATTACTTAATCTACAAGAAGGTATAACAATAACTGCCATTGAGTCTTCATTGTAATAGAAAATCGACAAAGTTTGATTTTAAATTTAAAATTAATATATGCCTGGCCATGAAAACGAAAGGTGTTGTGAATTGTGCAATGTTTACCAGCTCAAAGGACGATTTGAAGCAACATGAGCATGTTACGCATCGATACAAGTATTGGAATTTCCTAGTGAAAATAATTAGACACTTGACGCCTAAAACAACAATAAGTAAATTTTGTAATTATGACGATTCATATGTAGCGGTTTATGCATTAAACAAACAGCTTTAAAAGTGTGCGTCAATATTGGAACTCTTCTAGGAAATCGAAGAATACGAATATCTATAGCTTAGGGGGAAATAATTACTTTCTGATATTAGATTGAAATATCATAGTATCAGACAGTGACTATCTTCACAGAGTTTAATTAACACTTGGAGTCGTAATCTAAAACAATAAATTATCCCGTAAAAAAAAATTATTTGGAATCTTGAAGAATAGATGTGCATTAATTTATATTTGTTTTTAAAGTATTTAGTTACAACTGAATCAATTATAATGAATTGGATAGGGTATTGTTATTCGTATATTTGTGAAAATGCAGCAAAAGCAAACTCGAGGTACATAATATGATGTAAATGTGTTATAGTGTTTTTTGGGGGTTTTTTTTATTCAACTTATAAGGCAAGAACAGAACAGGTGAACAAGCACCTCTACAGAGCCGTCTTACCACCGGAGAAAAATGAATAAATAAATAATCAAATAAATGTAAAAAAGATAAGGATTCAATTAGAAAAAAAAAATCAGCAACAGCCAGAACAGTGACAAAATGAGATCCAAGTGCAAAAATTATCAGGAAAAAAATAAGATTTCAATTTAGAGTTGTAAAATTCAATAACTTTGTTCTTAAAAGAAGGAAAGGAAGAATCTGATCGAATTGATAAAGGAAGATTATTCCAGATGAAAACAATTCGTTGAAAATAAAAAGATTCGTGAGCATTAGTTTTGCACCGGCGTATAGATAACATAAAATGATCAGACGAAAGTCTGGTGGTAGGACGGCCCTGTGATGAATTAAAATGCACATAATCATCAATAGAAATATCATAAATACCATAAAAACTTTTGAAAAAAATATAGAGATCACTGATCTCGCGTCTAAAAGACAACGGTAACAAGTCAAGCTGCAAAAGGCGCAACTTATAATCAAGGTTAGGATAATGCAATATGAATTTAGTAGCCCGTCTTTGTATACCCTCGATACTCCTTATATTTCTTTTGGATGTACCACTCCAGATAGAACTACAGTACTCAAGATTACATCTTATAAGTGATAAGAAGAGTGTTTTAGCAACATTACATGGAGCATCATAACCTATGGTTCGCTTAATCATCCCTCTACAATAAAAAAATATGTGCATCATCTTCAACAATGTCACACTTTGGACATGTATTATCATTGATAAATCTACATGTGTGTAACCTTTTCCTAGTAGGATCAATGTTATGCAATATTTTATAGTTCATCTGTTTGAGCTTGGTTTTTTTTTTTTTTCTTTTTTTTTGATAGATTTCACTTCCCGTGACCAGGTTAGTTACAAGTCAATTTCTGTATTAAAAAAGTTGTGTCACTTTGATTGGGAATTTAAGGTTAAACATTCTAACTAAAATAAGTGCTAGATAGCTTATTATTGATTGTTTTAATTTAACAACAACACTGGTTAAATAGGTATATCATGAAAAATCTAATTATATACTATACAAAAGCAGGTGAACAATCAAAGGAGTTGTGGCTAGGCAAAATAATATACATTTGTCTTGATAAAATTTGGCCGTTCTATCAAATACAATGAAGTTAAGTTATAGGATTCACTTCATGATTTGAAACTTGCATCGTCAACCTCTATGTTTAAATTCTATTCTGGTTATTCAATAATGATAGCATAATAAAATGAATTGAGAGGATTAATTACAAAAATAGAAATTATACAATATAAAATCCTATACAGTAAATTATTATAATTATTATTATTTAAAATAGCAATACAAACAATACTTATTATCTACTTACAATAATAACAATACCGTTTTTGTAGTAGTGCATTATTTTTTATTTAATATCTCAATTCACTTTGGTTTTATAATAAACAATAGATCAGTTGTTCTAATGTAAAAATAAACATTTAATTAATTAATTTGGAGTAATTTTTTGTTCAATCAGAAAATACTGGGGTTATTTCCTTCTTTTAATTTGTGTTTTGATTTGTTTTCATTTTTAATTCCTTCACATCCAACAGAAAGTACACTCGCCACTTATAGGATGGAATGATGCTTTATATAATATTCAATTATGAAGCTTGGGAATTGGAGTTGTTTTTTAGTCGTGAGAAATAATCATGCAATGCAGGGATTGAACCTAGAATCCTGAAAATAGAAAGCAAGCATCAAAACTACCAAGCTACAGTTCCACTTGTTATTAACTATATTAAGGATATTTTTGTAAGGGGTGGGTCGATCTTTATGTCTTAATTTGTTTATCTGACTCACTCCCACACGAATATTGTATGATAATGAACTTGTACTGCCATGGACGTATTAATAGGTCCATAGTACTGCTGTATATTTTTATGTTCAATTATCTTCGTTCTTTCATGAGAAAGTAATTGAAATAAGAAACATAAGCGAAGGTTATATTCAAAACTACGGGATCATTTTATGAAAAGCTACTGGCATTACACTTGCATCGATTAATTATACCTGTGTGCAGCTTGATCGAGGAAATAAGTGATATTTTAAGCTTATGATTATTATAAATGTGCTGCTACGGTAAGATACAACTAAAGAAGCTCTGTACTGAAATAAGATGGCAATCTTATGACGCTAATCACAATTGCCAATTTCCAATGTAAACATAGAAACAGATCGCTGGCAGAGAAAAGAAGAATTGGAATTGCTTGAAACGAAATAAAGAAAATGGGTTAAAGTTTATTTCTTTATTGAATCCTGATTATTAAAAAAAAATAGACTTTTGGGAGATCTCGACCTTTCATTAATTGACCTAGTACTGTGCATTACGCATGCAAAAACAGTGTAATAATGTGGCTTTTAATCGGTTTCGAGAGTTCTTAACACCGACAGCTTTCAGTGATGCCCATTTCGGTGGAATCGGGAAGCCTTCCAAATTTGCGTCGGAACTGTACGCAGTACAACGTTTGCACTGAAAACACTGTGGTAGCGACATAGGAAACCAGGCTTTTTAAGCACCACGATGGTTAAGGCGTCTGTTTTGACAGACAAGGTTCTGGGTTCGGTCAGTGTTTTATGTGTGTGGGGTGTGGGGTGGGCGGGGTGTGTGTGGGTGTGGGTGTTTACGTGCTTATGTGTTTGTAATGCATAAGTATGTGAAATATTACACTATGCTTGATTTACAATCAATTTCATACATACCATTGTGTCTGATTAATTTGCTTTCATTGTCAACACGACCAAACAGACCCACGGCGAGCATGCTCCATATGGCACTCATGCCATGAACCGGAAATACTCCAACTGGGTCATCCACCTTTAGTTTCTCCATAAGCACTGATCCAGAGCAAGCGATTAGTGCCCCGATACTTCCAATAATGATGCCCTCATAAGGTCGACATAATGCGCAAAACGCTGGAATGAAATGAGATGAAAAGAATCGTTGCAGTCAAGAGTATATCGATCATGCAATACAATAGTAAAATAATACGTTGGCATAGACCAAAAAAGCCTTAATGTTTTCCTTTTAAATGTTTTCTTCATAGGGACGATTCATTGTCAACACGACCAAACAGACCCACGGCGAGCATGCTCCATATGGCACTCATGCCATGAACCGGAAATACTCCAACTGGGTCATCCACCTTTAGTTTCTCCATAAGCACTGATCCAGAGCAAGCGATTAGTGCCCCGATACTTCCAATAATGATGCCCTCATAAGGTCGACATAATGCGCAAAACGCTGGAATGAAATGAGATGAAAAGAATCGTTGCAGTCAAGAGTATATCGATCATGCAATACAATAGTAAAATAATACGTTGGCATAGACCAAAAAAGCCTTAATGTTTTCCTTCTAAATGTTTTCTTCATAGGGACGATGCGAAATATTAGGAAGTTTAGCCGTGATTTTAATTAAAGGTGCACATTTGAAGCAGGATAAAGCCAACAATAAGTCTAAATTACTTTTCGCATTATAATTGTTGTTTATTATTTAAACACGCAGATCAGCATATATCTATATCCAAAAAATGTAACTCTATATATATATATATATATATATATATATATAAGTATATATATATATATATATTTATATATAATGAGTACGAATGCACAAAGTAGAGTCGTATACGTTGACATAATAGACATAACACGTATGATTAAAAAGCTTTACAAACTAGCAATAGGGGACAAACAATATAGCAGTGACTTAGATAAATCGTAAATGATATGTATAATTAAGGTGGATTATAAAGGGCGGTAACAACAAAGAAGATAAAGATAAACGAAAAGGCTAATCAGCCGAATGTAGGCCTATGATCTCACTAGCCTGAGCCAATGAAAATGAAATAAAACAAGTTAAAGAGTATAAAGGATGAATAAATAAATAAAAATGTATCTAGATCTAGATCTAGCATTGGTTAATAAAAAGTGTAATCTATGAGAAATCCTAATCTTTATTTATGACATTTTTGTGAGTATTTAATGTACCGTATTTATTTTCACAAAAATGGCATAAATAAAGATTTAGGATTTCTCACAGATTAGGGCCTACACTTTTTTTTAATTAATCAATGCATTCATACATCTAGATACATTTTATTCATTTATACATCCGTTATATAAAGCATCATTCCATCCTATAAGTGGCGAGTGTACTTGATGTTGGATGTGAAGGAAATAAATATAAAAAGAAATCAAAACACAAATAAAAGAAGGAAAAAACCCCAGTATTCTGTCTGAACAAAAAATTACTAAATGCTTCAATGTTTATGTTTACATTAGAACATAATATTAATATTAGAATATTACTTCTGCTAATCACCACCACGTAACTTCCCCTATCTCCTCTGAAACCGCTGGCAGGAATGTGCTCATATCTCACACTGGGGCTTCTATATGTCACGACCACATTCCGCTATTTTTAAGGCTGGATATTGCATAACAACGAACAAAAAAAAAAACAGCCAAAAACCACCGAAAAAAAACTTGTTTCGCCATGTTTCGCAAGTTGTTTACGTCACGTAAATACAATAAATCACATCTAAGCCTATTCTGCACTGCAATGCTTAGGTCTAAAAATCATCGAGTCAGACCGTAAAAGAACCAGTCTATGTTTCGCATCTTCATTACGTCACCGCCCAGTACTTCTCACGTTCGTCAACAAAATGGGTGACAAGCATGTTCCCGTACCTCTTCGGAGTACCAATTGCATTATACTGGATATATTGTAGTTTTATGGCACAAAACATCAGCAATAAATGGCATTTTTTAGAAGTCGATCAAGTAAAAAATAAAGATACACCTGGGCACGAGCCATAACCTCGGCCAAACCATACCGGCTAGCCCTACACAGGCCCGGCCCATACTATATATATAATAGGCACAGGCCTAGGCACCACAGCCCTAGGCTCTGACCCAGACCTAGGCGCGGCCTAGCCTAACCTATGTTGTCGATCAGAGATAGGCCTATACTATAGGGGCCTAGGCTCAGGTGTAGTTAGCACGCCTAGGTCCTATCCTCTATCTCTCGAATCCGGGTCGATTTGGATAGTGCATTAAAATAGATAGGGTCAAATCAGCGAATTCGATCCAACTCGGCCACAAGTCAACTCGGCCACAGTCAACTCGGCCACAAAAAGTTTGGCTACAGTCAACTCGGCCACAAGTCAACTCGGCCTCAAGTCATCTCGGCCACAAATCAACTCGGCCACAAGTCAACTCGGCCACAAGTCATTTACTGGTACTACATT